TTTAGAGGAAAGCTCCCACAGACTGACTGCCAATTCTTGGCAAGGTTGTCATCTTTGTGTTCCTAGAATGTATAATCTGGTTTAGTTTCATCCAAAAACAATCTGATTTTTTGCTCTAAAACCACTCCATACTGCACACCAGAAAGAAGAAAAGAAGGGATTCAGTTCCTCGATTCAAACTAAGGTGTGGTTGCAGGCACACCCACGTCACTAGGCACAGATAGTTGTAACATGGAGGATGCTTATCTAATATACTTTGAGTAATAAATGATAAATATATTTATCTTGAATTCATCTGCTCTTAGCCAGAATTCTAAAATAATGACTTCTCTTTTAGTAGAATTACTTTGAAAAGAGCTGAAAAAGGGACAGGAGTTTATACTAAGTCATCAGAAAAAGACCAGTATTTCTGCAATGAAAACTTTCATTTTCACATTCTCAAAAACAAATTGTTCTTTATTATGTTTGTTTTCTTCTTCCAAAACATATCAAAATATTAAGTCAGTCTTTAATGCAAAGCAACCCGTGATGTTTGCTTACAGTTTATATTTTTCAAAAGAAAATGTCATAAGTCATTGAATTCTGTACATTACTTCTTCAGAAGGAATTGATAGTTATATACTGTGCCTGTAAACTGGGACCAAACTCTTTCTTACCATCAGTGAATGACCAGGAATATATCACCTTTTTATATTGGAAACCCTGATTCAGGTGCCCAGAATAAGAAGTCTGGAAAAAAAGGTTCTCTAACTCTCATTATGTTGCCTTTAATATGCCCTTAGATTACTTTTCTTCATAACCAAGGAAACTTCCTTTCTCTCTCCTCTTTGTCCAAGGTAGTTCATGTTCTTACGTTATCAGTAGATACCAGAATCTGGAGTTGGGATTTAAAAAACACCTGAAAACTCATGATAGTATCTCAAGAGATAGCAGCAGTAGCATTTTTATAGACTGAGCAAGTAGAAATTTGGTACTTCTACACTTGACTGCTCAGTGACTCCTATTGTATTTTTAATATATTTTATTCTGTTATTTTTAACACAGTTATCATATTGCTTTAATGTCTGCCTTTTAGAAGCTCCCCACTTCTGCCTGAAAAAAATTTATTTCCCTTTTTTCAGCTTTCGTCCATGCATTCATGTGGTAGAGTTTTCTGTTTGATTATAGTGCTTATCTAAAGTTACCCTGTTGGCAATTTGAAGATTTCAGTCACTTATTTTCTGAAAGGTCATTTTCTTTTTTACTGAGTGCTAACTGAGATTTTCCCCTACTATTCTGTATTAATTAATCCTCTTATATCCTTTATCAAAGTTACTGTGTTTTCCAAGATGTTTCTTCTGTTACTTTGATGTGCTCCAGATTGGACAGATGTGTAGATGTGATGTGAGTATAACGGGTCCCTCATAATGCTGAAACACTGTTTCCTGACTTTTGTTGAGTGCTTGGTTTTATGATATAATTTTCAACTTTCTCTTTCCTTTTTTGTTTTTTGTCTATGGGCCTACCTCTCTTTTTTGTCACCCCAGTTTTCGGTTGGTGTAGTTTCACTGACTCAGCATATAGTAAAATGAAATTACTACTACAGAATAGGGGATGGGCCATAGAGTTCTAATTCTCAGAGTTTTTGGATGGGTTTTTCTTCCTGCAGTGAAGTAGGTCTCCATTTCAGATGTACCTGCAGCAGGGGGCTTGGAGTAGGTCAGTTACTCAAAAGAAATTAAACCAGAGTCACAGAGTCTGAACACATTTTCTAGGATCTTTTAATTTTACTCTCTACACAAAAAACTGTGTTTTGTGAGCAATATACAGAAAGGTACAAACAGAAAAAATTCACATATAGTGAGGCTTTCTGTCTCAGCAGTACATTCTGTAGGTAGGTTTGTTATCCAGATTTGGTTGTATTGTCCCCTGTGCTCATCAAACGATTGATGTACCTTGTCTTATCTGTTACAGAATGGCACCATCTTTCTTGTTCTTATGTTTAAGCAATCTGTAGCTCAGGAACCATTAACCCCAGGACCTTTTGTAGCTGTTCTGCAATCTAGAGGAACTGCTTGACAAATTTGAAAAAATTTCATCCTCTCAGTCTGGTCTGTGCCTAGGTTTTCATTTGTACAGAAAAGGCTTAACCTCCACAGCCTATGTAATGAATGTTTATATGAATGTACAAGCATTTCACCCTAGTGGTACGTAGGCATGTGCAGTGTGTTTTGGAGACTATATTCCTTGCTTAAATTTCTGTGAGATTCCTGTGAAACGCTTTGCAGCATATGCTCCAGTTAAGGGATATAAACATTCCTTTTATTATTCTAATATAGTAGCATGTATTATTGATTTGTAGAAAAATTTAAAGTGCAAACTGGTCTTTTTTGTTAAGAAGCTTCATATATAAACAATGTAGATTGTGTAGACTAAATAAATGTCAGACTTAAGGTTTTACAGATGGTGAGAGATGTATAGACACAAGGAGCTATGAAAAATATTTTCCAGTTTTTTAAAATTCAGCATGTGCATATTTTATACTTCAGACTGATTTATTTAGGCTTGTAGAAATGGAAAGCTGTATTTGATTAGATCATTATCATCTCTCTAGTTACCACAGAGATGCACAGTGCTATAAAATGAACTGTAATTTATTTATCTGTTAATATCTTCATGTTGTGTTATAATTACCTCTTGTTCTGTTCTTGTGTATCTTCCCTCCAGAAATGAAAGAATTTGTTGGTATTTTGGTTTTGTAAACATTTATTTTTAAAGGGCTTCTTAAAAATTTTATTTTTGATCATGACAAAGATTTTGTAGGTCTAAGTAATACAAATACCATAAACATAAACAGTCATAACATAAACAGTCTATACTCTTTCCTTTGCTCCTACAGATGTTTTGCATTTTCAAAACTAAGAATGTGAGTGTGTAAAAGTGTGGAGGTGACTTCATATGAATATGGCCCTGCTTTTACTATCTGCAGAATCTTGCTCCATGGGTAGTACAGCCCTGTTATTAAAAGGGCTGTTTGCAGATTAATATAATTGTTAGCATTTTTTTTTTTTTGGAAATGTGACCTCTCCCCTTCCAAACTCCCAAAGATTTTGCCCCTTCATGATCAGTGTGGTTCTTTGCTTCGTTGCACATTTCCTGTCGTAGTTTGCTGCCACCCCTTACACTCTGCCCTTTGGCCAGTAATGATTATACTAGGAGTTACGATACAAAATGCAATTTGGATATATAGCTCAGTTATGCTACTTATCAGGTCGATTTATGTTTGTTAATTGCCATTCATATATACTATTTGTTTTATCATGATTTTTTAATGTTGAAAACCTTGAAACTAATTTTTATTATGTTCTCTCAAATTTTTTAATTGACGTGTGTGTGTGTTATTGGGTTCAACTGTATGTCATGGTTGGTGTTGGTAGACTAAGGTATGGATGTGAGAGCTGCAATGAGTGCTTGAAGCTACAGAAAGCAACAAAACCGATCCAGGAACACCACTGATATTTTGGGTCACAGTTGCAACAGTGATAAAGAATTTAAGACACTGTGTTTGCCACTTCAGGATGATTTAATACAGATTACAAGAAATACCTTAATTTGCTTAAGTATACAGTCTATCCATCAAAATCTATCTTTTAATAGATGTGGGGGTATTTTTTTTCCCTAAAGTATTTGCAGTATTATTTTACTACTCTTTTAGCTTCTCCACTGGGAATCAGAAATAGCTGTTCTTGAGTAATGGTGGATGATGTGATGTCTGAGTTTTATAAGCTGTCTTGGGATCCAGTGAATAAGAAATTTATGGCAATTCTACTAGCTATTTGGTGGTTTAAGAGTAATAGTATTTTAATTAGTTTTTGAATAATATTGTCCAGTTTCAAGCATTTTGTTTTAATATCTGTTTTCATCTTAGTTCCTCCTTAAATGTAGTGTTTAATTGTGTTTGTTAGGGCTTCAATTACCTTTCTTCACTCCCAAGAACTATTAAAATTATACACTAATGAAACAGTAATCTCCTCTGTGATCTACTACATAGCAGCAGAAATGGCCAGCTGTGATTAGAATAGAAACACTGCATGGAAAAATTACCATTAAGATGCAAACAGGATTGAGTTTTTTTTCAAAGTCACAATAAGAAAAACTGTGATAAAATATAATAGTATATGATCAGTACAAATAATTTTTTAAAATAAATTTTCATATCTGGATAATTATAAAGATAATATTAGTGTGGTAGAAAACATGTTAATACAGTAATTCTGAATCCTACTCCAGAATTCTTTGAAGACACATATATTTTTTGTGTGTAACACTAGACTAAGATTAGAAGGAGAGGCGTTAAAAAGTTGTAAATATATTTTAGCTGAGAGCTGGTTTTGAAAGTGTTATCATTCGCTAGTGGCAAATGTTGAAATCTTCAAAAGCAAGATGACTGTTCATTTTTCATAGGTGAGGGAGCCTGTTCATCTGCTTGCCAACCTTTGTATACGAGGTGAAAATCTAAAATCGCTAGGATTTGTGATTGTTATTCTTCTTTTAAGAGATGAAATGAAGGTTAACAACCCAGATAATTGTTTTGCACAAATCTGGAAGTTGAAAATGCCTTGGTACCAGTGAAAATTAGCTATTGTTTGAGATGACAACTAGGCACAGTTAGGTGGTCTCCAGATAACTTGGAAAGAAAGACTTTGTGAATTAGGTCCTGAAATCACGAATAATCAATGACGAGTGAGAGAAGGAAATGGAGTACAAGGGAACACTTACTTGATGAGTTGCTTTGCCAAGCAATGCATAGCATTGCTCAGCATCCTGTGGTTTCTGAAGCTTGGTGTTTTCATATTTTTGTGAAGAGAATGAAAGGATTTGAAGCTAAAAGTGAAAAATTCATAGATAGCCGTTGCTACTTGTAAACTTGAAAATCTGTGCATCTTCAGGCTAAATTTTGATGAGAAAACTTTAGAATCATGAAAACTACAAGGATAATCTCAAATTTTTTCTTCTTCTAGTGTTGGTGTATGAGGTCCGTGTATACACAGGTGCTGAACTTGGTGCTGAAACAGATTCCAACGTTTATATCAACCTCATTGGGACAAGAGGAGATGCTGGCAAAAGGAAGCTCCACAGATCTAAGAATAATAATGTAAAATTTCAACGTGGAGAGGTGAAGTAAAAACAATGCTACTTCTGGTCAATAAGAGTAAATTATGGCTAGCAAACAAGTGTAAATATATTTTATTTTTAAGATTTATTCAAGCATTTACCATTTTCTTTATTCAAAATTACTTACATAATTATATCATATGGATGACTTTTGTCTGCTCAGTCAACCATTTACAGAAAGCATTAAATAGTAGAATTTGAGTATTCTTGGTTATTTGTATTGCTTGTATGGATAAAATGGTAACAATAATTTTTATTCTCCTGAACAGATCACCATGAATTTTAGAATCAAGTTCTAAATCCATATCCCAGGTTTTCTAGTCTTGCTGAGGCAGATAGCACTAGAAAATATGATATAGAGATGACTAAATAATTATTTGCACCTGATCATTGTGTCTTGCCAAAGGAATTGAGGTGTTATTCAATTCAGAAAGATTTAAAGGATGCTCACTGTCTGGCCAGGACCAGTATAAAACAACTATATTCATTTTGTAAAAGAAGAAAAAAAGAAAGAGAGAGGAGAAAAGAGCTATTCTACACCATTATAGTCAAAGCAATAGCTGTGTTCAAGACCTTTATCATTTTCCTTGTATGGTTCCACAGATGGATATTTTCTGGATAAAGGCTGTCTCACTGGGAGACTTGGAGAAAGTTCTGATTAGCCATGATGGAGCTGGTCCAGGTAGGATTTAACTTCCTAGAGACCAATCTGTTTTCAAGCCCTTTTTAAACCCAATGCACTTTGTTTATATTGCATCCTTCATATAAAATGTGACAGAAGGTCTTGCAGTGATAAAAAGTTTTCCTGCAGGCTGATCACCGTGATGGGACGATGAAAAACAATAGTAATGGACAGAAGAATGGACATGAGTTTAATCTCAAATGCTGCCATTCCACTCTTTGTTTTCAAGATTATTTATAAGAAAGCATTAATTATTTGCATATATAAAACTTTCAAAAGTGTGTCTCACACTGTAAGACAATCCTTCATTAGACAAAGAGTGAAAACTGGCCAGAATGGAATTAAAGATATTCAGCAGCTGCTTTTCTACCAGACAAAATTTGAGTAGCTCTAACATAATGTCCTTGCTGCTTTGGGCAACAGTAGATGATTTGATTATTTACTTAATCTGTGTGAGTCAATGTGGAGCTGTTCCAGTGAGTGACATTACATTTGGCTTGTAGGTTTTTCAGAAAAAAGAGAGAATTTGGTGATGAGATGAATTTTCAGTACAGGCCCTTGAAGTGTGCATGATGTAAATGAAGAGAAAACTATCATTTAAAAGCACTGAAGATGTAAATACTAAAAATATGTTTACAGATTCATATCTAGGAATAAGCTAAGTGAAGAGAAGGATTTTTAAAGCAGTTTGGGGCCACACTGATAACAGATTAGAAAATACCTTTTACCCTATTCTGTTCTGAAATGGCCTTAAGCAACACCCATCTTGCTGACTGTACTGCCTAAGGCTCTGAGTAGAACTGTGACTACTACAGAAATAGCCTTAATAGTGCAGCCTTAGGATGGGGTATTCTAGTTCTCTAGAATTTTCTGCCTTCAGCAAAATGCGCAATTGTATACATGAGAGTTTCACATCCTGGTAGCCCAAGACATAACACAGAAAACAGTGTGGTGGAACCCACCTTCCCTCTATTCCCCAGAACCCCGTACCATGCTCTTTTCCCTCACTTCTCTGTTAATAGGCAGTTCAGCCTTATCACAGGATAAGAATTGTAAATCTGTAACTCAATTCAGCTATCTTAAGCTGTTCTTTGACACCCGAGTTCAAATCTGTGGGTTTGGAGGACTGCCTAAACTGGACAATGGATTGAATTCTTCCTGTAACAAAATTTATGCCTTGGTAATTCAGGTGGTTGTTCATTGTATTTATCACAGACAGATCTCACAGACCTCTTTTGAACTGCATCCAAAACTAGCCCCTCATAAGCCTGGCCTGAGATTACTGGGGAGTTGAGAGCTGGAAAAAGATGGTGACTCAGGAGAGAGACCATCAAGAGACTCAATCACTTGAGGGTTGAGAGAGAGGAAAGAGAGTACCTTTAGAGAGGGGACTACCCCTTTTTCTAATCCTATCACTTGCTTGAGTGACAGGACAGGAAGGTCCTTAGTCTTGATATAGAGATTGTCTTGAAAGGATCCTGTAACATATGTTTTCTTCAGAGTTCCTAGACCTCAGGGTACAGATCTTCTCCCACAGACACTGTGAATGAGGAAAGTAAAGGAATTTTGTCCTAGAAGCAGGGTTTGGGCCTTGGTCTGGTGTGAGTCACTAGGTGATTTGTCTTACCTGCTGAAAGAAGCTCTTCTTCCATAGAAACCTTCCATATATACCTGTATATTTACACAGGCAGTACCTTTCATCTTTTTTGACCTTTTTCAAATTGACCTGTCTGATCGCTAGTTAATCTTGACCAGCCCAATAGGCTTTTTCCAATGAAAGAGTAGTGAGGTGTAAGAGGGTGACAGAAGCAGCTTGCAAAGTGTCCTAATGTGCCCTGGGCCTGAAATCCTAAAGGGAGATGCCATTTTGTTCCATGCATTGCCTGGGCATGCTCTTCCTGTGTGACAGAAACTGCTGCCTTCTAGGGACTTCCAGACTCAGAGGCAGCCAGAGACACAGAGCATGAGAATAAATAGGATGATTGTTTCTTCTGACGAAAACATCCCTCATGTTGTTTTTCTAAAATGTGCTGATAGGTAATGGTGTGAGTCGCGCAAAACCTCATAAGCAATATGACAAGTTGTGAGTTGTGCAGGCGCAGTGAGAACAGGATATTTGAGAAGGGTGTCGCAAGGAGAACTATACTGGTCACAAAGATGGCTACTGGAAGTGATCTGAAAGATCAGCATGGATGTGCCAGTGATTACTGCTGTTAGGCAGAGGATGAATTCAGTAGCCTGACAGAAGTGAGGCTGCACAGCTCCATGCCTGCTGGCTGCACTGGTAGCAAGGCTGAGTATGTGTTCCAAGTAGACATATACACACATACATTTATAAAACACATGTGTGTCTGCACATGGCCGGCCATGCAGGACAACACAAACAGGAACTCAACCCATACACAAATAGTAACAATGGCCTTTTCTGTTACCCTCTCCAGCTGATCAGAATAACAGTCCATGAAGGTCAAATATAAAAAATTTATACAGTATATATATATGGGCGTATAAGACCTCCAGTAACTGGCCTTAGGCACTCAGTCTATCTGGGTGCTGTCCCTGGATCCTTGGATCCTCAGTTTTGCCAGTTTCTGGCACCTAGACATACAAAGCCCCACCAAGGCTGCAGTCCTGCTCCATTTCCATGGCAGCATTAGTTTTAAAGATTTGTTAATTAATATAATATTTTTATATATGCAATAAGGTGTTCACTCACAGAGGACCAAAATTTCCAGCATTCACACAAATCTTGATTATTGGAATAAATGGATTTGTTCAAACATCCTTGTGTCTGATTACAAGGAATTGAAAGATATGGGCTGAGGTGTGAACAGTGTGAACAATTCAGAGATGTATGTATGTATTTATCTTGAAGAGAAAAAATCCCCCCCACTTAAAATTAAAACAGGTAGAGAAGAATTGCATCTCTTACAAGAGATACAAAATAATAAAGTTTCATTCTGTTGATATATCTTATCTATTTAGCTGAGATATGTTAATATGATCTGTGTTTTTGCTAAAAAAATATAATCTGGGCTTTTTTTCTTAAAATTTATTAAAAAGAAACAAAAAAGCATGATTTCACATGATAAACTTTTTGTCATTTCAACACAGGCAATGGATGGTTCCTGGATAAGATTGTCATCAAACATAAAGAAGGAGAGGAAGCTCAGGAGGTTGTATTTCCTTGTAATAGGTATGCCATTCATGGAGAAAAATAATTTGTTACCTGCCAGCAACGTAATCAAAAAATCGCAGAATGGATATGTGCACACAACGTAGGTGTATGAGCAATGTCCCAGAGTTTTTCAACATACGAGGGATGCAAAATTTTGCAGTCGAAGACAAGAAACAAATCTGCTATATTGACATAGGAGGGAGTCATAGCCTGAAGCAAAGAAGCCCCAAAACAAATGTTTCATAAGAGGAAAGGTGCATTGATCTTTTTGTTTAATCTAAATTATACAGAGACCATGTGAAATTACTTAAGCTTTTAGTTCTCAGCCTTTTAAGAAGTATTGTATATAAAGATCTGAAATTACACAGCTGCTATCATGCAAACATGGTGGGATGACTCACACAGTTGAAGTGTTGTAATGGATGGTTAAAAATCCTTCAGCAGGGATAGGCAAGAAAGGAGAGGTGATGGGGTAGCCTTGTATGCTAAGTGTTTTGATTGTCTAGAACTTGATGATGGTGATGATAAGGTAGAGTGTATATGGGCAAGAATCAGGGACATGGCCAAGGCAGGTGTCGTGGTAGAAGTCTGTTATAGACCACCCAACCAGGATGAAGAGGTAGATGACATACTATAAGCAGCTGGGAAAAGACTCACAATCACTGGCCCTTGTTCTCCTGAGGGGCTTGTGTCTGCTGCAAATACAACACAGCAGAGGGGAAGCAGTCTAGGAGATTCCTGGAGTTTATAGAAGTGAACCTTCTGACACAGCTGCTCAGGGAGCCAGCTAGGGAAGATGTCCACTGGATCTGCTGTTTGTGAACAGAGAGGGACTGGTGAGTGATGTGAAGGTTGGAGACTATTTTGGACACAGAAATTGTGAAATTATAAGAGGGTTTGATCCTCAGAGAGGTAAGGGAGAGCAGAACTACCACCTTGATATTCTGGAGAGCAGACTTGGGCCTGTTTAGGAGACTGGTTCACAGAATCCCCTGGGAGGCATACCAGGAAGACTGGACATTCTTCAGGAAGGAAATCTTGTTGTGATGTTATGCAGGGAGAAAATTAGAAGGGCCAAAACCTAACTAAAAATTAATCTTGCTGTACAAGGTAAAAAACCAAACCAAACCAAATAAAAAAGAAAAATAAACAAAAAACCCAAACAAAACGAACAAACAAAAAACCCCCCAAAACAACAAAACCAACACAAAAAAACCCCACACAGCAGAAACAAAAGGAAAGTTAAAGAGAATCTCCCTCCTTTATTGTATGTGAGGGTCAACAGTAACAAAGGATGAGGGAAAGGCTGAGGCACTTAATGCATTCTTTACCTTTAACAGTAATACCAGTTGTTCTCTTGGTATCCAGTCTCCTGTGCTAGAAGAAAGGTAGGGGGAACAGAATGAATCCCCCGCAATCCAATGGGAAATAGCAACCTGCTGCAGCACTTAGCCATGTACAAGGCTGAGAGGCTGGATGTGATTCATAGAAGGGTACTGAGGGAGATGCACTTGGGTCACAACAGCCCTCTGCAATGCTACAGACTTGGGGATGAGTGGCTGGAAAGCTGCCTGGTGGAAAAGGACTTGGGGTGCTGATTGTCTGTTGACTGAACATGAGCCAGCAGTGTGACCATGTAGCCAAGAAGGCCAATGGTATTCTGGCTTGTATCAGAAGTAGTATGGCCAGCAGGACTGGGGAAGTGATCATCCCCCCTGTACTCAGCACTGGTGAGGTTGCATCTCATACCCTGTATCCAGTTCTGGGCTCCTCACTACAAGAACGACATTGAGGAGCTGGAGCATGTCAGAGAAGTGCAATGAGGCTGTTGGAGGGTCTAGAAAACAAGCTCTGTGAGGAGAAGTTGAGGGTACTTGGGGTTGTTTAGTCTGGAGGAAAGGAGGCTCAGTGGGAACCTTATCTCTCTCTGCAACTACCTGAAAGGAGGTTGTGGTGAGGTGGGGGTTGGTCTCTTCTCCTGAGAGTAAAGAGCGATAGGATGAGAGAAAATGGCCCCAAGTTGTGCCTGGGATTGTTTAGAAAGAGCCAAAAGGCTTGTTAAACATTGAAACAGGTTGCCCAGTGCATTGGTGAAGACCATCACTGAAGGTATTTAAAAGATGTGTTGATGTGGCACTTGGAGGCATGGTTTAGTGGTGAACATGGTGGTGCTCGGCTAATGTTTGGACTTGATGATTTAAAGATTTTTTCCAACCTAAACGATGCTCTGATTCTATTCTGAGATCTAGCTGCACTGATTTTGGTCACTTTCTCTGTCACTGAAATCCCTATATACATCCTGGAAATCTTTGGAAAGACCTTTAACTTTTCCTCTTAAAGCAGAATAAATCTATTTTGCTCTATTTTAGTAGGTCTAAAATTTTACTATCATCTGCAAAATTAGAAAACATTCGACTCTCTCAATTCTAACAACTGCTAAACAGTCCATTCTTTCAAATTTTCTTACTATCTGAGGCAACTGCAACCTTTTAGCTGTCTTTGAGTTGACTAATACAGCTGTAGCAGAAAACCCCCCCACATAAAATAAGCTAAATAGAGGAAAGTAAGGATTTGTGTGTGTTATTTATGCATGAGTATTTTTAATAAAATAGAAATAAGTTGAAGAATTGTAATTTAGACCCAGATAATTATATTCTGTAGTATGTGGTTTCCAGAACTTAAAAGTTTGGGTTACATAGCTAAAATAGTTTTCATGTTATTTTGGGAACTGTGCTTTAAGTCTTGAAAATCTTCGGGGGTTTAGTAGACAGCTCTCCTCTTCTAGGAATCCTACCTGTTTACAAAAAAACACCACAGGGTTTCCTTTTGCAAAGTTCCTGGAAATGACTAGCTAAGAACCATTTACTCTTCGTAGGACTATCATTTGAATGATCAGGTTATTGGTTTAGCTTTTCTTTTTGGATATTAAGCTTTTAAAATGGTTTGGGGTGCATTAAAGATGGTTATTGGAAGCAGAGATGAATGAGAAAATTGATTCTTTAAATTCAAGGAGAACTTATGAGACTTCTCTGAAGAGTGGAATTCTTAATAAAAACATTAGGCTGCCTTTTCAAGAGGAAATTGTAAAGATCTTAGAAAAAGATTACACGTAGAACCAGAGGAATTTTGTCATTGTTTGCCTGCAGTGTAAGTGTGCTGCCAATGTGTCAAAGTTTGCTTTCTATTTTTAGAAACTACTACTGATCTTTTCTTTCTTAGGACAGAATGAGGAGATAGGTCCCAAAAGTTAATCAAGCTATTTATTACAACAATAGTTGAAATACAGTGGAGTTCAGACTTCATGCATGGAGGATCAACTGAAGGAGTATGGATGTATGTTTGCAGTAAAACGATATTGCAGGAAAGCTGCTAAAATTCATCAATTTAAAAGAAAAGTAAAAAGAGAAGTTCAGTTAATTGCTGCAGATCTGCAAAAGATTTAGAAACTTCCAGACTGGCAGGTTTTATATATCATTTTATATATCAGCCAGTACAATGAATATAACTAATCACTGCAGGTTATATACCCTTTCAAATATACAGCTGAATCTCTGAACCAGTAAATAATTAGCATTTCATATAATGTATTTCACATAGTACTACAGTATTCACACAGCTATGATGAGAATTCCTCTGCCTGGAGCAGGTTGAACCAAATTCTTCTAACATGAATGAGACTAACTGTGATGAATGTATAAAACAAACTTTGATCTAGGTTTCAAGGCATAACTTGATAAACAAAGTATAAAAATACTGTTGGAGACAGAAGGTAATGGTCAGCTCACATATAATATACTAATAGTTTTTATTAATCTTATTATTTTTCTTTTTGCAATGAAAGATGGTTAGACGAATGCCAAGATGATGGGAAAACTGAAAGGGAGCTAACTGCCAATGGTAAGTATTTTGTTAAAGAAAAAGTGTGTTATAACACTATGTTATAGGCTTAATATCCAGTTATTAAGAAGAACCCTTCCAGATAAGACCATAACTTGAGAAGAAAAGTGATAATAAAGCTCATTCCAATTAGTTTTCCTGTTCATATTTTAGAGGATGGCAGTTCAATGAAGGCGTTCCTCAAAGGTAAGAGTTTTTTTCTAGCCAGTGTTTTCTATATCATAGCTTTTGCTGTTTGAATTTAACCTACAAATCAGTATTGTGACAAATATGTAAGCAAGTGACCTCATTTGTATATGTTTTATACTGCATATCAGCTGTGACACAAAAAGACAAATTGTCTGGCAACAGTCTACAGAAAGGACTAGACCTCAATAACCAATTGAAAAAAATATAAACATTTCTCGTTTTCTTCATAGTTCTACTCTTCTGACCTGAAATCAACAAGGAATTCCTCTGAGAAGAGATTCAAGTGTTGTTTTGTTTACCCCAATGTCACTGCCATTTAATACTTGGGGACAGGTCCCCTAGCAAACATCAGCAAGTTGAAAAATGTGTTGTGAAATGTCAGTAGAAGCATTTTCAGGTCAAAATCCCAAAGTAGCCAGAAATAATGCAGCTTACACTCCCAATCCTCTAGTGAAGCTAAATGTAGTATATGCATTCAGTTGACTAAATCTGCTTGAGTTAATAAAAAAATTAATAAAAAAACTAACCACCTAGCTTTCTGGCTTTATACTTACAAAGACAATCTCATCACTGTAATACACTAGTTCCTCCCAGGTGTTTAAAATTTGAGATACCATCTCCTCATTTCTTCCTAACCAGAAAAGAGACACAGACTGACACACATATTTTTATGAACACTTAGCTGTAAATGGCTATTCTGTGCAACCATACCTGGGAATTTTATGAGAGAAACTAAACTACAAAATGTGGTATTTACATTTGTCTCTTAAAACAGTGACTTGCCTTCTGTAGAATGAGTCCTAGTCTCTCAATCTAATTTCAATTTCAGTGAAAATCAAATGATTTGCATTCAATCAAACAGTTTAGCCAACAGTTTTATTGTTCCATGGCAACATAACTTAGACAAGAGGAGACTGATGAACTCAGGTAAGTAAAGGCTTTCCCACACAGAAAATTAATTTCACAAGTGACTTGGATTTTGGATTCTGCATTCTGCTAAGTGCACAGTTCAGAGAGGCAACCATGATATCTATTTCACCTTATGTTCAGATAAGAGACTATGTTTTACTACCAATTCAAATTTTTTCCAGTGTAGCTTTATTCTTCATTATGTTATAATAAGCAGGCACAGATGCACAGGCTGCTCAGTGCCTCAAGTGTCAACAGTGGTTAGACTCAAAATATTGGGTATGAGAAGAAAGGAGTGGCTTCTTCTTAATCAGCTTTTGATACGTCACACTGTCAAGATGTCTGGTAGTGTCCAGAGAGTGTTGAGATCAGAGGTTCTGAAAAATGAAATTATAAAGCAGAAGAACATTTTTAGGAAGTTATCTGAGTTTATATACAGCTTAGTTATATGCAGCTTAGCTTGAGTTACTCTTCAGCCATCTTTCTTTCACCCAGGGACTCATTCCAGTGAGGAACTGAGATAGGTGAGAGATTGGACTTTTATGCCTTACGTGAAAAAGATAATGAGTAGGACTGATCTCAGGATTTTCACCATTTAATTTGTGTTGTCATACTGGTGATCCCACAGACCTTGCATGACTGAGCTTTGTAAGAGGGTAACAACCACCAGAGGTTTGGAAAGATGTCTTGTACTCAGGCACTGTGTCATGCTAGACTGACACGGAACTAAGAGCTGATAAGTGAAGATGAGAACTTCAGAGATGGAGAGTCTTGGAAGAAAAGAATAATTGCCTTAGATTCTCCCAGCATCTGTAGCAGTGAATATTTCACATGGTACAGTAGTGATAAGCAGAGCCATTCAGAGTGAAAGCAAAACTTGTTATTATAATATATTTTTACTGAATAAGAGGCAAGCATCAGTCCTGATGTTAGGGAGCCAATATCTTAGGCATTCCTGTAGTCATACTCTATATGAGCTGCACTCCACAAGTGGGCTTCAAAGAAAGTCATAAAAAGTTGATTGGCGTAATTCAGTGTTGTTTGGTGATTTTCAGGATTAGTTCGATGTCCTTAGACCTGGTCTAAAGCAAAGGTTATAGAACAAAATACTTTATAAGTCACTCTGAAGGTCAGAAATCTCATTCACTTTGTATGAGGCTGGTAACCTGTTCAACCACCTAGCCAAAGAGTAGACTTTGAAAATCATCATTGCCAGAGAGATTACTTGAGTGCTCTTTGTCCTTTGTCATCCAGACTGGCATTGTACCAGCTTTAATGAAGCATAAATCCCAGATCCCTGTGACTGCTGCTGCTGGCTATGGATTCTGCCAAAATGCAGTATGCCCATATCAAGTTTCCTCAGTAACCTTTATACATTTGTAGACTATGGAGAGCCTCTGGCAAATCAGGAATAGGAATAGATTTATTTGTATTCTTCTGATTCCTCCTTGTATATTTTATGCAAGGTAAAAAGAGAAAGTGTATTGCCCTGGAAGAGAAAGCAGATAGGTAATCTCAGCTCTCAAATGATGAAGTTGATTCGAGGGAGAATGGAACTTTACAACACTCTCTAAAAGTTTTCCACATTGTAGGGATATTTTACTACTTTCTCCTCCTATTTTCTCTATTTATTTTCCTTTTCTGCCTCAAAGTAGGTGGATTTTCACACATAGGAAAGGATTTTCTCTCAAAGTGAGAAGTCAAGACACAATATATTCCAACACTGTCCCCACTGCAGTCAGTTTAAAGGAGCTGGGTTCTTGTAATGTGTTTGCAGTAGGGTGTCCTGTGGTTTTTTGGGCTTTTGTGGGTGGTGAATGAAGTGTGGTTCAACATCCTTGAACAGAGTTCAGTTTATAAGTATTTCTACATTGGCTCTTGCGTTGTGCAAAGTTGTTGGTATTAAGGCATATAGAAAATTCATAAGAAAAGAGAAAATGTTCAGTAAATACTGCCATGATTAATTCTGTTTTAAAATTATTCCCTACTTTGCAAGCACTTGCTAATAGACTAAGAATAATCACAGAATTCCCAAATTTTAAGTGGAATCGTCCTGCTTCTAAAAAGCATAGACAATATGTATTACCAGATGGAGGCAGAAATCCCTAAGAAAAAGAATTAAGCAGACTGACTGCTCTGCCTCAAGGCAATACAAACTTCTACAATCTCCAGGAAATAAGCAACTTACTCCTACATCCAGCAAAGTGTGAATGTCATCCTAGGTCTTAAGACCAAAAAACACCAGAGTAAAAAAAACCAATAAACTGGAATAATGTATTTTAAGAAAAATTTTGGCAATCCTCTAAAAATATATAAATTACTCAGATCTGAAAAACTAGAAAATAACGCATCCTTTTTCAGTTTTCTGAATTATATTATGAAATGTTGACTTTATGCTTTACCATGCTCAGATTTCTATGTGCAGAAGTCACTGCAGGTTTGATTTTCACACTTTTACTGAAGGGACTTTCAGGTTCCAGACTAGTGGTTAAAAGAATTTCTAGAAGGAAATTGTTATGACTGATCCCATTTAATTTCTGAAAGTCAACAGATGACCCCTGCTTCTAACATATCCCTGTATAGATCTCTGTAATGTGAAATCAGATCTTTCATTATATCGTTATAAAAAGAGACAATTGTGAGATTCTTTTCACAGAATTCTGTTTTTCCCTACTATTCATTTTAGTGATTCTCACACTGATTCTCAGAGTAAATGGCTATGGCTTTTCGCATTAGCCAAGAGTACAATAACACACTAACACACTAATCACTTTGAAAGGAAGCTAACACAGTTCAGTGATATCAGGGGAAAAGTCTCTTTTTTAATGATATGTAGTCACACATCTGAAACACAGAAAATAACCTTCTCAAGCACAGCTATCTGATTTTCAGAACTTCACTCCTAGAGAAAACACTAAACACAATAAATATTTGGCATCAGTCTCCTGGTTGGTGTATCTATCCTTGCCAAATAGCTGTCTAAGTGAATAGAATATTAGACAATGAATTTTTTTTCTTATTCTGGCATGAGCAGGTTAAATGAATTTGCTGAACTGAGAGAAAATGCAGTCTGGGTTAGCTCAGTTGCCAAACTGTAGAAGCATTAAAAGTAAATGTAGGAGAAAAAAGAGTCGCAGATGCTAAGAGGCCTTAAATCTGTAATCACTGATTTATTTTCTGGAAAACTCCCAACTGGTGTCTTAGCTTTTCTTCTGAAATAATAATTAAAAACACAATCATGATTATTAATTAAAATAAATCACCTTGACGAAATACCTTCTCCGAATGTGTGGCCTCTTTGAGGAGGGAACAGGTAGTTATGCATCTGTGTTTTCTTTCAACTTGGGAATTACTATTTCCTGGAGCAGAAGGATCTTACAAAGAGAAAAAAAAAGCTCATTTGGGAAACACAAAAATGCAAAATTATCCTAATTTTCTCTCTGCTGTGTTCCTGGGACAGCCTTCAAAATGGGGCATGGTTGGACAGGATAAGAGATTCAGGGCTACGATGGGAGTCTTTGTAAAAATTTGAAGCTCCTTATAAACCCTCAGAGTGATCAGGAACAGCAAAAGCTCAAACCATGCTTGACTTCACCAAGTGTGACACCCTGAAGAGTACCACATGCCAACCTGGCACAAGGAGATAAAATTTGAAGCTGGCACACATATCAAACAGCAAAAGTTCTCATTAGGCAAAGTGTGGATCTTCCACACTCTACATCTGACTCATTCCTGGAAATGACCTCAAAAAAAAGAGTTCAAATGGAAGGATCCTTTCAGCTAGTGTGTAACTCAGAAGACTGACTGTGAGATGTGTATTTGCCTGCTGTTTTATAGCTGAACCCAGAAGAGTCAGGGAACAGTCAGATGTAATGCAGAAACATGTTCTATAAAGAGGGGAAAAACAGAATTAGCTAAAGAAAAAAGGTGAAAAAAAGGGAAAATTATAAATCAAGGAAACCAGATCAGGTTTTCCTCCAGACTCCATTTCCAAGCAGGAGGAGGAAGAAAAGGGTATGAAACAAGTACACAGTACTGAAAGAAAAAAATCACATCCAATTTAATACTGAATTGAATTATTCTAAAATTTATTTTATCGACATATTGTTTTGTAGGCTTACACACAAACATGAAACAGTTCTCTTTTATATTAATACCATTAACAAATTATTATATTTTCATAGTACTCCCCACAGTCTAAACATAAGTTTTTGATTTCCTTCTACTGTTAAGTTCTTTTGCTATGCAGAATCAAGTATCTTTTCAACATATAATTAATTTGAATTCAGGGGATGATTTACCTTCAAGCACTAAGTAACTTCCTAACCTATACCGTCCGTCTATTACACTGTATTTTTCCCACACATGGCATAGCTTCTCAGTTGCATTCTGCAGGTCACCTACCAAAAAATGATCTCTGAAAGGCCTAAGCCATGAGCTGAGGTCAGTGCAAACATCTCTTCAGAATTACCTAAATTTTGTATTCAACCCTAGTGAATAATTTGATCTGACAAATGAGCAGACTGAACATGACAAATCAGCTTAGAAAAATTGTAGAATAAAAGTTAGAAGTTTCACTGCTTAACTAGTAGTGTATTAGCCAGTGTGTCTTACAAAAAGATCACATACAAGTCTTTCAGAATGTTAGTTTTCTTTTTCATGTTACATAAGAACATTCTAATTGAAATGTATTAGAATAATTACTTTATTAAAGAAACTATTTTGTTATAAAGAATGCAAAAAACCCCCACAACAACAACCTAGGCAGAGTCTTTTTCCTGCTTCCTTAGTGTTAATTTCTGCTTTCATACCCACAATTGTCTTGTGTTTATCAAGTCTAAGTTATCCTTGTTGTCAAGAAAAAGAATGTCGACCAGTCTATTTTTATTAAATAGGATGTAAGTTCATGGTAATCTTTAGATTCTTTGTTGTAATAGTAACAAAAGCATCCATTGCTCTCTACCATTGACACTAAAAATGTTTAATTGATATATTGATATTAAAGATGTCTTTATTTTATTTAGCACAACGGTGGAGAGTGCAGGTTAAAACAGATGGAGATTCCCCAGAGCCACAGGAGTGTAAAAGGACCCTTGTGATTTATGGCTCTAAGGGCAAAAGTGATGAGCTTCTGCTTTCTCCACAAACCCCTGGCTATGTGTGCTTTCTGCCCAGAGCAACTGATGAATTCACTGTAAGTCATAAATATACACTACTACACAGACCTTACCATGACATTGCTGTCTAGGCAATATATATATATGTGTGTGTATGTGTGTGTGTGTATACAAAACTAGAGTCATATATATATAATGTTATTTTGGTAAAAAATGATGCAATTATTTACAAAGATGGAATGACGCAAGTTTAGGTCTTGGGTCATCTCCTGTTGGTAGTCCTGTTCTACTATAGCAAGCTCCAATGTTCTCTTTGAATTTTCAGTGCCTTCAAGGGCAGAAAATGGACCCTGTATTTACCAGCTCGTCTTGCAATTTTTTTCTAATTCCCTAAAGATTCCTGAGCTGAAGTTCATTCAAAAGGCCATACATAATTATTTGTGAATGTAGAAGATGAAGGATTGGGCAGCACTCCCAGGGGAGTTCAATGGGCTTTGTTTTGCTTTATTTCCATCTTTGTAAAGTAGTATCCACTCTCCCCCAAGATAGTTCTGTCTCTCAGGCCAACAGGCAGAGAATTTTTCTGGATTGTAATAAATCACTGGAGAATGCATTCATGCATATAAAAGTGTGATGAACTCTGCAGCAATAGATTATATATGGCCACTATTAAAATCAACTGTAACACAGTCCTGACTGCCTGTACACCCGACACACATACTACTGCTTTGAGAGGATTCATCTGAGACATCTTTTTAATGTTCAAATTCTGTCCTGGCTTTATAGGCTAAGTCACTGCAAATTCTGTTGATTGGCATGAAGTACAGCTTCTAGCCAGCAAGATGAGAGAAATAACTTGCAATTCAAGTCAGTTTTATACAGCTCAGGAAGACTTTTCAATGGCTGCAATAAACATTCTGAAAACAATGGCAAGAGTACATTTTGAAAATTATGCCAAAGCTTCATTGTAATGACCCCATCCAGGCTGAATTTTTTGTTTAAATAACAAGCTAAAGCAATTTAGGAACTTTATGGGGAGTAAATGAGAAGATAAATAGCATTTCTTAAAGACAAGAAAGCAGCTGCTTATCAAAAAACACAGGAAACACACTGAGCAACAAAAGACACTTCAGAACTGAAGAGGTCAGTAGAGGCAGAATCTGTCTACGGAGCAACCACACCAGCTGATTGAATTTTAGGAAGCATCATTTCATAAAGTAGACTTTTGCTGCACCCAACAAGTTGGTAATTTCTCAAATGGCATGTATTCCTCTTTAAGGCTGCCTTACTTCAATGATTGGTACCAGGAGAATGATAGTACCAATGATTGGTACTAGGAGAAACTAGTAATGCTGTGTGTCAGTCATGGATGTCCCTCATAGTCCACTATCCTAGGCACCACAGTACCTTATCCATCATACCCTTCCACCCCAGAACTTTTGTGAATGCTTGTTTAGACTTTGGGTTGGCTTTGGGTTAGTGTTTATATTTTCCCCGTAGATATTTGTGCCCTTGTTTTTATTGCTTTGTATGAAGGAGTTAATACTATTTGAGTATTGTTTACTGCACAAGAAATTTTATCTCTTTGTCACATTGCTTATAGCACATCTTACAGAATAAGCAGGTCTGATACAAAGGGTCTTTTGGGGATTCACAGATATCCCCATAAATACCTTCATATCTTCTTTAGGTGGTTGAGCTAATAAACACAGTTTCTTTTTACTCTCCCTTTCTTTGTTTTTACTAAGATTATGCAAAAGAACGCAGAAGCTTTGCTCATGTTTTCTCACTGTAGCAGCAGGCTGGAGACATGAGCATATCACCAGGAAGACAAGCTGTGAATTCAGCTTTTCAACAAGCAGAAGTAAATGAACTTTCAACCTCCCCCCAAGATCCTAGTCCTAGACAAACATCCTTAACAATATAGAGCAGTAAAAAGAACAACAGGTTATGTGCTATAAGTAGCTCACATAGTTTTGAAATAGTAAGCTAAATTTTGGTCTCAGAGATACGTCTATTGAACACTGAGGACAGAAAGACATCTAAATTCCTGATTTTCCAGGTGCTCTCACACAAGTATATGCACAGATGTGTATCATATTCAGAATGATTATTCGATCCAAAATATGTCCAACCAAATCCTATGAAAGAACAGGTGTAGTTTAATTGCACATAGCAAGCATAAGGAATGAATTAAAAGAGAAAATAGCAGCGTGCTATGAGGTACAGTTTGGTTTCAGTGGTCTCAGAAACCTATAGCATAATGTTTGAGCTGCTTAAATAAGAATAAACTTAATTAGAACACCTTAATTTTAAAAAATAAATTTAGAAATAGGTGAATGTGTCAACATTATGAGATTACATTGAAGATAACATGGGAAGAAATGAGTAAAAGTTTTTGTCCTTGATAGTCTGGTGATGGTAAGAATCAATTGTTGATCTCACATGAAATAAGCAGATTTGTAAAGTATATAGATCTTTCTCCCATTCATCTGTATTTCTTGATTGCATGCAGAGTAAGCTTGTCAGAACATGTCTTTCGAGAGTCCTAGTGTACTGTGCACATTCTCTTATTCAGAGAACCATAAAATGTGAAGATACATCAACTAACAGATTGTGAGATTGGGATCCCTAAAACTACTTTTCAAAAGACTAGTACAGGTAGTACAAAATGAGCAGTAGAGCTCTGCAAGTAGGACTGTTTGTAAATACACAGTCAATATGGAATTTATTTTGTGTTAAGAACCATGAGGTGACAGAAAGTTTCAAATCACATAATACAATACTCCATGTGTTTTACACAGTATGAGATGATGTTCCAAACAACAAACAGCAGGATTTCTAGAGTATATGACAGAAGGCTCTTCATCTGAATTTCAGAGTGCTTTGACCAAACCTTATTAACTAGAATAATTTATGGGTTTTTTTCCTTTTTTTTCCTTTCTTTTTTTTTTTTTTTCAGAGAAAAGAATTGAAAAGAATTAAAAAGAATCTAATTTAAATGTGCCCCCAAACAGTAAAATTTACAAAGCTTTAATTACATTAGGCATGATGTTTTTGAGAAATCCTGTGTGAGTCAAAAATAAAAGATTTAAAATGTTATGAAATCATCTTCATCAGTTACCTGTCTCTGAGATATTCAAAAGTCCAGTGGCTTTGTCAGAGCCTTCTCTCAATTATGAGACATGCTCCTTTCAGTCATGTGATAGAAAAAGTAGTGTTGTTTAGTATATGACAAATCACATCCAACTCACCTAAAATTTCAAGTTCTGAGTATTACATAAAGCTACTCAGAAGAAATAAATATGGAAACATTAATTAGGAAGTTATATAATAATGAACAGGGTAAAGTGTCTTCTTGCAAATAGTCTACAAATTTAAAATAAAGATATTCACTGAATATACTTTGATATAGACTGATAGACTTTGTGATGGATTATAAGTCTATCTCTGCTTCGAAGTTCATGTTACTTCAATTAATAGACATTGATGGAGGGAAAGGTAAATTATGGGATCAAAGACAATATGTCATATTTCAAAGAAAAACTGTCCATATTAAATTGCTCAGAAAAGGATTACAAAAATGATTTAATGATAGCACTGGGTTACAATGATAGAGCTGAACAAAAAAGACTTGCACTGGCCAGAACTGTGGGGGAAAAACAAATCCCTGAAAAAAAGGGAAATATCTAATAAACTCAGTTGAAAATAGTTGGTGCTTAATTCCACAGATCGTAAACTGTGTGATAATTAGTGCTTTCTGTTTCAAAGGCAGTCACAGAAATAAATGAATTTGTGATTCTAGAAACAAAAGGGACAATTGTGGTTTTTAAATAGCCTGTCCTGTATTCTGGAATAATTTTCATATATATCTCATCTGTGCATTTCCTACAAGGATTTTAGTACATGTATTTATAGCAACTTAGAAACCAATAGAATTTCAAATTTGGGTAGCAGAAGGCAAAGTAAAATGTGAGGTACAGCTTACCTTGTCACATAAAAATAAACAAGTCCTGTACTTTTGCAACTCCCAAACAGAGAGCTTTGTGAAACAAGTTGTTCAAGCAGTCAGAGTAGCTGTGTGTTAGTCATGGGGGTCCAAGTACAACAAAGAAAATCTGCAGGCCGTAATTTTAAAAGTCTGTAGTCTGGTTTTGACAGAGAAGAAGCAATAATTTTGTTGCCTGTGAAAGGACCATAGTTTAGATGTACACTCTCCTCTCAATGAACCCAAATAATTCCCATTCAGCTTAATAAGGTGGAATGCATATTTTACAAGGGATTAGTCCATTTAGTCCACCATAGCTAATGATACATAGCTAATGATATCCTTTGCAACACAGACAGCATGAATGAAAAAATCTTGACATGAAATTCTGCTCGTGTATTTCCCTTTTCATAGTGCAGCAGTGGAGACCAAGTCAGGAACAACCTTAAGTTCTGTAAGCACGAATGTGTACAGACAGTCAGGGCAGCTTAGTTTTGGAGGGAGGACAAATCTAATGCCCTCTTCAGTGTAAAACCAATCCTATGTGACTGTTATGAGTGCTGTGGAGGTACAGTTCAGGAGTTCCATGCAGCCTTGGGGCTCTTACGTAGAAAATAGGAAGCATTTCTTCCCTGGTCCTTAAAGAACAATGTCTTGAATATTGAAAATTTGTAGGAGTGGCATGCCAATCACTTATAATACTTACCTTGAGAAATTCAGACTGAAAGGGATCTTTTAAGTCAACAAGTGCAGTTTCTTCCTACCAAAGGCCTCTCTTCATAAGTTCTACATCATAAACAGTTCAAGATCCTGTAAAATGGTTTTGGCACGTTGCTTTATTTTCAGTTCAGTTCCTCCTCATACTCTGATGTTTTACTATTTCTTATTTGCATAACAGTTATTAATGATGGTGGCCAAGTCTTCCAAAATTATAAAACCACATTTTTTATATGGTTCCTCTCTAGTAAGTGGACATGTATATGTCCACTGTGCAAATACACATGAACTACCTTTGAGCAAGCGAGGTCAGCAGTGAAGGGCTGTCAAATTCAGAGGTCTGTTGAGAAGCAGACTAAATCATCTGTTAGGAGGTCTGTGCTCTATTTCAGGAGCCAATCTGCTGCTGATGCTGCTAATCCCAGGGCATGACTGTGCAAGACTAACTTCAATTTGTTGCTGTGATGTTATAGGGTGCACAAAGGATTTACTTCCTGGAAAGTCACCAAATCTTATGTTGTGACTGGTGTGAGAAAAAAAACCCAACAAACAATATGGGAGGAGAACAAGGCCACTGGCAACATTTCCTGATTTAATCCTTCTTAAAAATAATTGTTACCTTTTAAAAATAACAGTTCTGTGTTGTTTCACTCAAAAATCACTTTCCTTCTTGCAGTTTTCCAGTGAAAAGCTACCACTGTTCAGAAAACTTATCAAGCAGTGGTTAATGTCATGCAGATCGTTAGCACTTCATGCAGTTTAATCATCCCAGTTCCCACAGCTCTAGGTTGGATGGTTTAAGAAGCCCACAGTCATCAATTAGTTATTGAATTTCCCATATGTAGTATTGGAACAGGACTCTGTTGTCCTGCAGAGTTATTTATGTGACATTCATGATTTATTTTTTATTCAGCAATATCTCCTCTCTTTTACAAAAAATTGGTTGTAAAATAGTGTCATGTTCTAAAACAAATCATTTAGCAAATGGGAATTTATTTAAAACTTTCTAAAATTTCTTCACCTAAAATTAAAATTCATTGAAAATTTTTTCACCAAAGGGGTTGTCAAGCATTGGAACATGCTGCCCAGGGCAGTGGTTGAGTCATCATCCCTGGAGGTACTTAAAAGATGTGTAGATGTGGCACTCAGAGCCATAGTATAATGATGGGCTTGGCAGTACTGGGTTAATGACTGGACTTGATGATCTTAAAGGTCTTTTGGAACCTAAATAATTCTGTGATTCTAGGCTCATAGTAAACATTATTATACTAATACCTCACTTGACTGCTGATATTAGAACCTTTAGTTGTAAGCTAATGCTCTCTCTATCCAGTAGGGTCACAGCTTTATGTTAGATTTGTCTAAAGTGCCTAAACGCACAGGTCTTTCTAATTTTAACCTTGATCCACTAATAAGGGAGAAAATCTCACCCATGATCATACCATGAAAAAAGGTATGATTCTCTCATCCCATTTATCTCAGCCTCAGATTCAACACTTCCATTGGTTAATGTTAAATTTAGGAATTCTACACAGGGATTTGGGAAAATCTCTGTAAGTGAACCAGGCTTGACAGCACATTCTTATGCTGTTTGTTGCAGGTTGAGACTGGAGATCTGGGAGACGTATACAAGATTCGAGTCAGCTGTGATGATGTGCCAGGCTTTGAGGGTTGGCATCTGAAGTCTTTTTGCTTAGAAGAGTTACACACAAAACAAGAGCTGAACTTTGACTGTAACTGCTGGCTCACTCTTAACAGAGAAGACAAGGAGCTGGTGAAAGAATTCCCTGCAGTCACCAAGGACCAGAAAACTTTACCAGGTAAAACCACTGAGAAGATACAAACACTGTAAATTAACTGCTTGAAAATCAATCGATGCCACAGATATAATACGGTGCTTTGTCTGCATATCTTCAGTGGCTCTATTGCAACCTTCTTCATATATGCACTGCAAGAATGCTGACCACTTAAAAAATTTTAATTTTCCAGTTAAGTTGCATATTGAGTTTTACAGTTGCTAACTCTTATGCCTGATTCTCAATGTGAAAAATTGAACAGTATAATTATACTTTTTAAAGAAAAGCACATGTTCAAAGCCATGGAAATGATTTGTTGTAGAGTTACTATTTAATTACTACTCAATAGCTTATAATAGATTTACTTACTAACATAAGTGTCAGAAGAAACCCTCATTGTACAAAAAAGATAATTCAGTTTCTAACAGATCCTGAACTAACTCAGATGAGTTCTTATTTTCCAGATCTTGCACAACAAAACAGAATTGGGCAGAATTTATCTAGATTTTAGTAGCTTAAGCTACAGAAGTCTAAATTGTCCAATTTCCTTCAAATTTCTAGGAAAATTAGTAGAAAGTCTTCTTTGAGCTCAGCATTGCAATCACTGAATAGCAGATTTTTTGGTAGCTGCAGAAATAAAAACAAGCAGTAGTCTAACTCTGTGTTGCTGTTTTATTTTAAATATACCTTGTACTTAATCAGCTTTTTTTTTTGTCTTTCTATACAGTCTGTAAGTATGTTGTCTCTGTGCATACTGGCGATCGCTGGGGAGCAGAGACTTTTGCAAATGTTTATATCACTCTCTATGGCAAAAGAGGGGACACAGGTGTGAGGAAACTTCATACATCTTTAACAAAAGGAAGAAAATTTCAAAGAAATAAGGTAATGGTACAAAAATGTGGTCTTACATGTGCAGGGGTTAGCATTGCCTTAAGTGTCACTACCTGCTCTGAATACATCTGGCTACAGATAGGCAAAAATTTTGAGACATTCACAGAATTTATCTTCCAGATATTCACAACAGACCAATTTCAGTGTTATTTAGTTCCTGTAGAAGAACATTGCCACATGACTTACTAGTCAGTAAATTTAGACAAGAGAAAAAGATTCCACTTAGAGAATGCACATAAAAACAGTGTTTCTGGATGACCAAAAGCAACAGAATTCTTCTCTTGTGAATTAGACTTTCTTATTAGAGGTTCCTTCACCGAACATTGAAGTTTGAAAAAACTCACTGCCAAAATGTACATTGTCAAGGAGAGGTTTAAATTTCTGTGAAATTATTTTATTAGACAGTTACTACAGCACTTGTTAGGGTAAAAGTGGAATCACTAATGGACTAAAAGAATTTCTAAATTTCATTCCTATGTATTTCTCAGAACTACGCTTATATAGAGAAGATATCACTCTGTTGTAATTATTTTAATTTATATTCATGCATGGATTTATTTCCTAAAATACCTTAATTATCAAAGTAAATGATTTCTGCTCACAATCTGCTGTTGGGTTCTAACTGTTATTAGAAAAAAAGAAAGAATTTTTTTTCATATGAAAGTACTTTTAATGTTAGTAGCAGAAAATCTGCTTCAATACTTTTATTTAAAAAGTAACATAAGACTCTGGCAACTACTGTATCTTTTAGAGATCAGTTTGCTAATATATTCTTTTTGATTGCTCTGACATCCAGTTTAGTAAGTTCCTACTATTGAATTAATGTTTTATTGGAATTATGGTGTTAATTATAATCATAGACATTGCTGTTTAGCTCCAGTTGTTCATGACTTTCTAACTTTTGTCAGCTACCATCAGGTCCATCTGACCCTAGACTGGAACACTTGGTTTTCTTACAAAACAAGTAAAAATTTAGTGGGGCATGTAATTTGTTTCTTTGCATTTCACATTTTTCCTTTTCTTGTTTTTGTGGTCCCTGTTCTTATCCACTGCTCATTGAGTTTACTTCTCTTTTGTCTTCCTCTGCCTTCTCCATACTACTTCCCTTCCCATCTCTTGTCTTTTACTCTCCACTTTCATCTTAACTTCCTCCTCTCTATTCCTTACTCTTGTCTTCATTCTGTAAGGAAAACAAAAAGACAGGCTTTTCTGACTATTGGAGAAGAATTTAACATCTGTCTTGGAGTGAATACACTCTTTTTAGATATATGTCTATGTTTGTATGATAAGTTTTAGAAACTAGAAATACCCTGAAAGATAGAAATTTGATTAGAACCAAACTCTTGTCATAACTGTCTGACCGTCAGAAGGTTGACAGTTTCATATTACATTTTAATGTAATAGGAAATGATTGATGCAATGATCCATATTGTCCAAAGATCAAATGAAGTTACAATGCACCATTACTGATGAATGTAGGATTCAATGATAGGTATTATCAGTGTGAGCTTTCTTAGATTCAGAGGGGAGATGTTATGTTAAACGTTACAAAAAAGCAGTCATAAGTTTTAAATCCTTGCTGAATCCAGACCTATATTTTCCCTGAAGTTCAAGAATATTTGGGTCAAAATTCTGTTTTATTGAGTATTTACCTGTTTTTCAGGTGGATTCATTTTTGGTGGAAGCTGTTTCTCTGAGTCATTTGCAAAAAGTGGTCATAGGACATGATGGAGAAGGCTATGGGGCAGGGATGTACCTCAAGATGGTAACAGTCAAAGAATCACAAGATTCAGACAAAGAATGGGTCTTTCCATTGTGGAATTGGCTTGATACTCATTTGGGCTTATGTGAGACTGTTTGTGAGATTGTAACAATTGGTAAGTTCTACAAAACTGACTTGACTGTTCATATATACATATATATGTTTGGCTACAGCTCTTTCAGACCTCTATAATATGCTCATTTTATTGAAAATGTGAATTTCAGTTTGATCTTATGTTATAGCAAAGCCACATCTGGTAAGGTCAAAGTTGATATAATTCCATCTTATCAGTGTGCAGTGTATGAAACACTTTCTTTCCAAATTAAATATAGCACATTGCAAAGAGAGATATAAACAGAGCTTGGGATGTGCGCCTCATGGGGATAAATAGCTTAAATTTTATGCATCACTTTTCAGCTTGGGATCTCACTTGAAATCCAAAGAAAAGTTAATTCAGTGAAATGAACCCGTGGTATTATTCCACAGCATGAAGGTGTAGTTCTGGTATGCTCAGTTTCTGCTCATTTCAAAATTACTACTACACCACAATTTATACAATTCTAAACCTGGATGTACTCGGCAAAAGAACACTTATAGCAGGACCTTTAGTGTTTTAGAACTAGTAAAAGATTTCTTCCTTCAATCCTGTGAAAACAATTCAGTGTAAAGGAAATGAGATACAAAATTTGTCCAGAGGGAGTAAGATAGCTTAAAAATACAAGGTGTCCACAATACATGATAGATATGCAGGTATTCAGTTGTGTGGTTTTTCCAGGTTGTAGAAAGTACATTTTTTTGAGCTATTCCTCTCCATTAAATAATTTTCCTTTCCCCTAGAATGGTTAAAACAGAATTAAAATGAAGAATAACAGTAATTAATGAAGAAAAAGAGAGGGACATAGTAATATTGATCTTCTGAGGATCTGGCAAATAATTTTGTGTGTTTTTTATAGACTTTCTCTCAGTCACACCATTACAGCACATATTATACTGCTAGGTAAGATCCAGTTATGAGTGAAGTTCATTAGAATTGTTCATTTTGCATTAGGTGCCTACATGCTAGGTATGGCTAGCACTCCTAAATGATAAATTAGTTTTAGTAACATTGATTGCTTTTTTGAGAACAATTGCTTAGACCTCTAAAAGGTAACAGAATGTTCTCTTAGAAATTACTTCCAAACATGACAAGGAATACTCATTGGCATCAAAAAAATGCATTTGAAACTAAATTTTAAACACAGAAAGAACGTTAAGCAGTTAAATTCTTGGGGAAAAAAAAAGTTATTGATGTGTTATTCTTAGTGAACAGTTGCTATAGATATAACAAAACCTGCAAAAGGAGCTTTGCTTGTGTTCTGTAAAGGCTATGGTCCTGCTACATTATGCCATTCTCTCATGCTGTCATCTTTCCTTTCTCTTTGATAATTTTTAAAGGTAGAAGATTGACTCTTAGTCCTAAACCACCTGAAATCAACATGAAATCATCAGGTCTCTGGACAATGGTTATCACTGGGTCTGACTTGAGCAATGAGGAGGATCCAATACGCCTTTCTTTTATCTTCTACGGCAATCTGAGTTGCAAAAAGTTACCGCTTCAAGTCACGGGGAAAACAATGTGGATCAAAGTACTTCAACCTTTCTCTATTGCAAGAAAAACCCATGAATCTTGTAGCCAATAACCCACTTAATTCTGAGATAAATTGTTTCTTTAAACTAAACTACCAAATTGATTTTTACGTCCTCTGTGTAGTTTAGCACAGGTCATCATTTTTGTTTGTAGATAGCAATGTTTTAACAAGGGTTTTTGAATGAGAAGATCCTCCCAGTGTCTCATATTCAAAATGTTTAAGTAAGTGAATTGGTCTCTTGGTGGGTATCACAGTATATACCATGCTGCATGTACTGATTTACAGGCTTTGTTGATCTCACAAAAGTAAGCAATTTGTAAGCATACAAAATGCCACATGATACTGTAGAGCTTTTGGGGCTGATGATGGGGAAGGAAGAATCACTACTTCCTCATGAGTGGAAGAGAAGGGTTAGACACTGGTCTCTCCTCTGTGGTGAACAATGACAGGATCCAAGGGAATGGCCTGAAGTTGCATCAGGGAAGATTTAGGTTGGATATTAGAAAAAGGTTCTTCACCCAGAGGGTGGTTGGGCACTGGAACAAGCTCTCCAGGGATATGGTCACAGCACCAAGCCCAACAGAGTTCAAGAGGTATTTGGACAATGATGTTGGGCACATGGTGTGACTCTTGGGGATGGTCCTGTGCAGGGCAAAGTGTTGAACTAGATGATCTTGTGGGTCCTGTCCAACTCAGCATATTCTGTGATTTTGTGATTCTATGATAAATGGGATGAAGCCTACAGAAAGTTTATTTTTCTCTTTTATGTAACTTTTTCATCCCTGCCACCACGTTTCTCTGAACAAACTGCTTTTTCTAGAATGGTTTCTCTCTCTTTTTTTTTTTCCATGTTATTTATTGTCACCTTCTTTTTCTTCCTGGTGATTGAGCTAAAGAAATAATTTTTGGGTTTTGAAGATCCACTTTAATGAAAGGGGAACTAACAGACTAGACTAGCCACAACATGATCCAAAATTAAGAGTACTCAGAAGGTTTTCCTAAGTTCTTTCCAAGAATCTCTGGTAAATGAAAAACATAGTATGAAACTGGAATTACCCTGTCAGAGGAAAGGCTGAAGTCAGGTCACATGCACTTCTACTATATGGGCAGTATTTGAAAGGAAAGAGCAGAGGAAAGAATATGAGAAATAGTGAATAGGAAGAGAAAAAAACAAATTCTGTTTTTTCCCTTTTTTTTCCCCATAGAGGGAAAAAAATAATTTTGAGCCAATATTTATAGTATCTGAGGCCTTCTCTACCTTCACTTACTCAAGAAGTGTTATGTCATAGAGATGTTGCATTATCCCCAGTAGAGCTAAAGTAGCTCTCCTTCGAATTTATAGTTAATTGCACCATTTTTATACTACAAGCTGTAAGAGATATTTCCGATAATGTTCAAAATTTTAAAAATCAACCAAAGCTTCTGTGCCTGAAAATAGTTTACTGAATCAGTGTAATATATATGAACACTACGCCTTGTTCTAAGTACAAATTTCAGCAGTGACTGCTATTGCTTTTTCCCTGATATCAAACCTCAAGCATTCTGTCTCCTCATTCACATTATTAAATCAATTTTGTATTGAGTAGAAAGGGGAAAAATAGTACTAGTTATAAATCTGCCCCAATTCTTTAACTACTGAAGCTTTTTCAACTGTTGCATACAGCTACCAACTGCATTTGTTCTGGCACAATTAAAATGAGATCCATTTCTCTTTCTCCCCACATAGGATGAACTGGCAGATATTGGCTCAATATACAAAGTTCAGGTAACTGGCCCACATAGTGAGCTAAAACAGCCATGGCACTTAGATTTACTGCATATGAAACACACAGGCACAAAGGAAGAGATGTATTTAGCTTTTGACTGCTGGTTCAACCCCAAGGAAGACAAATGTGTGGAACTGCCGGCTCTCTATGCAGATCAGGAACCTTTGCCTGGTAAGCTATGTTCTTTTTTGATACTGGGGTCAGGATCTGTCTCTGGAATACCAGTATATCTCTTTTGGGCCTAAAATACTGTGTGAAGATTTCCATAAGTATTTGATATTAAGGAATATAATGATTTTATACATGCATTTATCACAGAAGAAAGCTGAGAAAACGGAAATCATTGGTAGGAGGATTATGACAGGTGTTCTAACTGCTGACACCAAACATAGTATTTGGCTTCTTTCATGTTAAATGATGTTCCAGTTTTAGCTCTTGATTATTTATTATCTCTTCATATTAACACTATGTCAGATGAAGGTGTGTACAAAATATCATCTACTCTGTGACATTACCTGTATCTTCTTATTCACAAAGAAATATAAGTGACCTACAAACATAGTAAATTTTTTAAGAATGAACGAATTGCTAAGATCCCCTACAAAGCAAAGGTAGAATTCTTAAAATGTGTTACAATTAACCAGCAAAGAGATATCAAAAAATTTCAATTGCACTAGTGTTTTATTGGTGTCAATGAGAAATTTTTAATTCAGCAAGTAATATTCTACAAAAGTATATATTAAGTTACATGTTAGTAGCACATGCGAATGGTATGATGCCAGAGAGATGATTAAGTGCTTTCTACCACTCCCTCCTGCAATATGCTGAGGAGCAACCAATTGCATACTGATAACTTGATCACTAGTACTTAGGAACAGGCTTCCCATCTATCCAGCTCATTAGAATAAAGAGGATTGATCAGGGTAGTAAAGATGGTATATTGAAGCTTTTAGTGCCACTAAGAGGTTTATTGCTAGACTTTATACTACAAAGAGTGCTCTGCTTAAACAGAACCTAATAGAAAAAGGTGGAAGCAGCCCAGAAAAAGGAATAAGATAGACCATGTGAACTTTTCCACACCATTCTCTAAGGAATGTTCCCGAAATATTTCATCAAATTAAAAGATGAAACTTGAACACAAACACTGAAGACCTTTTAAATTTCTGGTTTAGTGTATGTTTACGTAATTTAAAAAACTTAGCCATATTGTATTTATTTACTGAAAAATCTTAAAATTTTAGAGTTTTAATCCATCAGCTAAAACAACAAAAACCATTGGATGTTGAATGTATCGTATGTTGGATGTACAATCATGAATTGTAAGTAATAGTAATTCTAGAGATAGTTAAAAAGCTCTATTTCCTTAATTTATTTATGAAAAAATGGGACAAATCATAAATATTGACAATTATTTTCTGAATGCAAACTTGTTAAATTTTTAACTACATATAAAAAAATCCAGAAATTAAAAAAAAAATAATTCTAGAATACAGTCCTCAAAACCTCTATTATGCTAAGAACCAAATGGAGATACATTATTCTGATGTGTAAAGCAATGAATTTTTGAGGTATATTAGAAAATTAGGGTATTTTTTCTTGGGAAACTTCTGGTAATAGATGTGTATATGCTTTCTCTCAAAAATTATTCCATAGATGGGAGCATCTGCTAACCTAGGAAGTTTCTCACAAACTGTTTTTTGGAGTCCAGAGATCTCCAACTGGAGTTGTTAATATCAGTTTTATTCTCTGCGACCCCAATACTAATTCAGTCTAAAATTTGTGTCAGCTTCTTCCTTATATTTCAGTTTCATTCCTAGATATCCCCCCTAAAAAAAAAAAAAAAGAAAAAAAGAAAAGAAAGAAAAGAAAAGTATTTTATCTCCTATCTTTAATTTATGGAGTGTTTTTTCCCTTTTTGAATGAGCATAATGTGATCACTTTCCCTCTGTGTTGGCTCACATCTGAAACAGAACTTTTATCAACAGGATTAGGAAGAGACAAAGGATGACAAGGCTGAACAAAGCAGTTGTCTTAGTAGATCTTTGTTGCTTGGGTATGTCGTTAATCTGGCAGAATGGTCCCAAACTCATTCTCAAAACTATTACCCTATTTCCCAGCATCTCTTTTGTGTTATGACTCCTTTCATAGGGTTACTTTGTATACTGTTATTTCACTTATATAGTACAAAATAATGGGAAATATTTGTTATGACTGCACTGAGCTTTAAATTATGCATCAATAGATTCAGCAGATTCAGTTGAAAATACTGACTCAGGAAAAACATGAGATACATTCTTAATTTTCAGAGCCTATGTCATTTGAATATTACTTGTGTGATTAATGCTAAGGTCATGATTATATATATTAATGATTCTGGACAAAATCAGTAAAAATGTGAGTGCTGTGATTTCTAATCCACCCCAAATGAGTGATCACACCTGTGGACCAAATTCTTTTGATCTTATTCACCCAAGTATCCTTTTGACTCCAATGAATCTGCTCATATGATCCAGTTATACAGATAAGGCAACACTCTAGATGAATAATACAGAATCTTACCTTCATATACTAACTCCCCTGAAAGCAAAAATGCCATTGGCTAAATGCTAAGATGTCACCTGGACAGCTCATGTGCTTTCAATTATCTGGAACTCCAGCAAGAGCAAGTCTGTGTAGCTACGTTGACTTTAATGCAGCTATGTTGCCTCTCACCTGGCAGTGCATATTTAACTGCCTCAAAGAAAGGAATGAGGTACATTAGGGCCCCAGTTTCAGAAAACTCTTGTTTTACTTCTTGTCATCAAACATGAGTGATACTATCAATTACTAGTACTTTCCCAGCTCTTAGTTTAAATTATTAAAAAAAAAAAAAAATCCCAGGGGAAGTCCCTGAAGTGAATAGTGCTGCAGTGAAATAAAGCTACTTTTCAGCAAACAGATTTTCCCAGTCTTCTTCCCCATGTAGTAAAAGATAAGGAGAAACCAAGATATTTCAGAAGTTTATTGCAATGAGCACACTTTTATTAGCAGATTGATAACAGCCCTTATTATTTAATGAATACTTTTAGATATTAATTTTACAGTCAGTATGCAAACCCACTTTTTAATACACTTAATCCAGTTATGTGACCTCTTCATTTTAGATGTATAAAGAAATAGCTATATAAGATGTCACAATATTTGAATTCAGGCCTTTTGATTATAACACTCAATATGAATAGCACCAACTTGTGAAAAGAGCTGTAAGAAAAGCTTAAAAATAAATATCCTCAGAACATTTTTTTTCTCCCTGTTTTCCTATCACCTACGCAGGAAAAAAAATGACAGCTTTAGCTTCTGGGTGCAGGGAATCATTCTCAAACCTACTAGAAATTTCTTATAATTATATCTTTTTAAAGAATGTGCACTTTGGTTAAATTGGGCCATTTCTAACTTGGAATAAATTTGATTGAAGAAGCAAAATGTCCTGAAAATATCAGATGTTTCTAGGATGTATACTTAGATATTCATGTATCCTATGAGGTGCTTTAGACTGAAATATGTGTCTCAGACTTAATATGTATTCAGTGCTCTCTGGCTTGTACCATCAATTGTGAAACTGAAAGTGCTTCTTAGTTTCTCCTTGGTTTCATGTCTGTCTAAAGCATCACTCTCCTTCTTTGCACACATGACTCTTCTGGGAAAGCAGTTGTTGTAGAGCCAGCCAGGTTCCAGGTAGGAACAAGTGGTGGAGTAAGGCTGGAAGACTTTCTGCTGCATGTAAATGTCACACAGTCTAGATGTTGTCTGTGTTTTACTACTCCAGTGATGAAGGTTGTGGGAGTTTGGGCTGATAGTGGTAGTCAAAGATAGCTCTACTTGTAAAATGTTAGATTTTAAGGCTGCTCAGTCCTTAAAAAAAAAATCTGTCTTGGTGCTTGTTCAGGAGGTAATATAAGCATTCTTGAATACATTCTTGGTACATATGCATTGCTCATTACCCACATACTGAATGTGACTTTGCATTTTACAGTGGATAGAAATGTTTTCCTCATTAAAAATACTAGAAAGGTGTGTTTTACAAACCTGTGTTGCTGCAAGATAATAGCTTTTTTTCTTAGGCTGAAGAAATGATGCTTGTGGTTGGAAGAAGATGAACATTTAGACCATCTGACTCCTAACTTCTAGTGTCTATCTCTAGAATATATGAGAACCTATTATAGGTGTTTTCTATAGCACCTACCTTTCCCTGCTGACTGCATAAGGATCTTATTCCTAATATAGCCACCAAAGTTAGATTCCTAAATTGACAGCACCAGCTCATTACACAAATGAGCACAAATGAACACACTATACAAATGAAATTTATTATAACTTGAATAAGAACACACAACACCAGAAGAAAAAAAAAACAACCAACCCCCAAAAACCCCTTCTTGTTTTTTCCTGGACTCCTTCTTGTTAAAATGATGCAAATAACAATGAATATTGAGATTGTGACCTGTTTCTGTTTAAGTGTTTTCTTGTTCCTTGTTTCCATGAAAAATTCCGAAGGTAAAATAGGTCATTTAAAAAGTGAACATAGGAGTTTTCCATGGAGTTTCTTTAGTATTAATGCAATCTTGTCTCATCTACATCACTTCCCTATGTATTGTGTTAGAAAAAGGCAAGGAAGCAGAAGCTTCCTATAGGGGTCATAGGTGTCTCTTCTAATGGCTATACTATGACCACAGATGAGAAAATCAGGAATGCTTTCCCTTAAACTCAAAGTTCACTTAGCTGACCTGGATTTATGTGTTATTGTGCAGTAAATGGAAGGTTCTTTGGAGTCTGATACAAAATATGAGGAGGCTTTTATATTTATGTGTTAAAGCTGATATTGAAAGCATTAGTATGTCATCATTTCTGTTTCACATTAACGGATTTTAATTTAAGATTATTGTGATAGTATTATTGTCCGACTAGTGATAAATAGAAATAAAGACAGGGAAGGAAGTAACAAAGAGATATCAGTAAATAGTCTTAGAAAGAAGAACTCAGATTTCCAAAGAGGATGTAAACATGACATTTTTCTAAGAAAGGAATTTTTTACTTTGGGGGAAAGAAACAGTACACAGGAGATCCTGTGCCTCAAATAGCAGCCAGGAGTGCTGATTTTCTGGGAGTGGTATCAGAGCAGAACAAATCTGTATTCTCCATATTGCCATACAGGGAGATATACAGGGGGAATATGTTTGGGTTATATGTGTCACCAGGACTGAAGAAACCTGTACTCCTTGTTTGGTGATACAGTATGGGTTTTGGATAAAATTTGCAATGCTTTCTACTGGGAATTGTTACATAATGCAGGTTTTGGGCAAGAAGAGAATGAGTATTTTCTCCTGCTGACTTTTTGAGTTTTTATGTCTATTTTTATTGAAGTTGTGGAATACACAATCCATTTGCACACGGGAGACTTGAAGAAAGCAGATGCCACTGGTGAGGTTTATCTTTGTATACAAGGAGAAAAAAGTTACTCCGGGAAACGATGGCTTAACTCGAAAAAGAGTCTGATCACTTTGGCAAGAGGGCAGGTAAAACAATGAGGGAAAATGTAACTGAGTCTGTGTCTTTTTGTTAAAACTTATGTATACAGAAAGCCTTTCATGGACAGAGTATCAAAAATACTTAGGTTTTATATTCCATATAGACATAATTTTCTCTTGTAACTTAGAGGTGATTGTTTCTATAGATGACATTGTTTTAAAGCCTCTTCAGTATTGTGCAACAGTAAAACAGTTCAACTGATGAAGTAATAATTGGTTGGACTAAAGGTTCTCTGAGAGTTCTGTTTTAATATTTCAGACTTTTAAGTCCGGGGAGGCATCACTGCTTTGTTAAAACATGCCCAATTGGTAGAACTGATACCATTTCTGTTAGGATATCTTGCATTTGTAATCACTCAATCTAAACTAGTCCATGACTTTTCTTATTAACTGTCCTGAACACTGTCAGTATTTCAAGCAGAATCTTATCATTTCATATTTCCAATTGATCTACCCACTTATTGCTTTCAACATGGTAAACATATTGTTACTTTTTTGAGATTAAAAGGCTTTTCCTAGAAGAGTAATTCCTGTAGTGATTATTGGCATAAGAAAAAAGTAACTAAAATTTCAGATCAGAAGGAGATATCTATTTCATATCAAAAGGACATGTCTAGCTGATACTTTTCAAGACGCTACTGTTTGTTTTGAATTTAAACTTGGAAAATTTTTTTGTTTTAAAGAATTCATAAAATCATTATGAAGTTCGTAGGAATCTTCTTTCAGGGAGGGTAGGAGAGAGTATTTCACTGTTGCCAGCCAATCTAGAGTAGTGTCTTCTCTGGTGCATAAATCTGGAGAAAACTGCTTGCAACGTTTCATTTATTCTTTATACATGCCTCTGTTTATTTTATCTGCTTTTCTTACTATTTTGAAAAATTCTGTAAGATACAGTATTGTTGTATGAAAACAAAACCAAACCTTAGTCATAATACCCTCTGTATTCCTGTATTTCTTTCTCCGTTCTGGAAGAGAATATGCGTACCCAATGTCATGTTCATCAAGAACTGATCAAACTGGTAGCTCAGACTTCACAGGAAAAATCTGAAAATAATGATGACAGAATAGTAGGGTCATTTTGCTTTTAATGTAGGATATTTTATAGATTACTCTTTTTGGTGATATAGATAATAGTCCTATATATAGTATGTCTTAAGGATAGTACCTTAGAGAAATCTGAACAGCAAGACTACTACAATGGATAAAGTATGAGTACAGACTGAAAGAAAGACTGATTCCTGTTTCTTTTAGAAAACTAAACTGTCCTGACCTTTTTAAAAAATTCTGCATTTCTAAGAATGTGTTACATTTTTGCCAAGAATAAAATTTTTAGAGAAAAATATGTGAAAAATAGCTCCTGACTTCTGTGAATATTCAGTTTTGTGGAAGTGCAACTTATCTGCAAATTCACGAAGATTTTTCACAGGTTTTCCAGATTCTGTGTCAGTTTTTGAACGGGCTTGTTCAAGAGGCTAAATCCTTCCTCTGAAACTTTAAAGGGCTTTTCTATATCCTGGGCTATAGCACCTTAGTCTTCTTCTTATAGAAAAGATTTCAAGTAACAACTGTTTGGGTTCATTCTGTCACAGTTTTCTTAACTCCAGTTTTCCCTCAAATGACTAATGCTACATTCTTAGTAATCGCTCTTTTTTCCTGGATGATTCTAGTCATCAATAGGATTCTCACAGGCAGTGTGAATTTTGGGGCCTATACAACTATGAGGACAATACAAGGGGTTTACTGTTTGTTTTCAAACTAGTCCCCATTGTTGTATTCAACTTGCATTTTCAACACAACCTTTCCAAGGCAACTTCTTCTGTCTACAGCAGGATAGCTCATAAAGTCACACAAAATAAAAGTCTTAGCTATGGAGATTTAATTTCACAGCTGGTTTGCCAAAAGAGTAGATGAATCCATTAATGAATAATGTTTCCAAACCTCACTTCTCCAGGCCCAGTTCAAAAGATTCAACAAATAACACTAAGCAATGTGGTGTTCCCAGTCTCAGTGTGCACACTTATGTGAGCTTTCCCATTGATTATGAAGATGACTGCACAAGGAAGTAGATTAACATGTTTATACAAGAAGGTGAATACACTATAAAGATTTACAGTAGGGGAAAAAAGGAAAGTTTCCACAAAGTCTATTTATCATTCAAGCCATTTGTATGCAGAAAATTTGACCTATTATAAAGATGATTTCAATGAGGAACGCTTATCCTAATAGCACAGTCGTTGAAACCTTCACAGATACCATTCACTTAATTCCCATTTATTTGCCTAATTCCTACTAAATTAACTGTGAATTTTAGTGAAAATGAAATTGGGTCAGATTTTCAGAATTATTAGACACTTATTCATCAGTTTTATTGCAAGTTATGTTCTGGATCAAAGTAACTTTCAACAACTTGATCTGATTTGGTTATTTCCATCCATGAAGGTACTAGAAAAAAGTGTTTCCAAAATTGCTTCCTATTAAATACAGCAGCATTCTGAAATGCACAATTCATAGTATTGACTGGATCAGAAAAGATCAGTTATAGCATGTAATATTTAATTATGAACTCAAAGGCAATGAAACAGCATAAACGAGATAAATTTTATTCCGTTGAGATACAAATCAGTGACCAGACACAAGGATAAACTGATAAATATTCAAAAGCAGATACATATTGAGTTTCACTAAAATATAATTTTCATTATTTTCATATTGCAGGTGGGTATTTTCAAAATCAAATCAGTATACCTTGGCAAGTTGAATCAAGTTCTGGTTGGATTTAAAAGTCCAAAAAAAGGTCAGCAATTTTTCCAGTTAATGTAAGGTAATGATAATGTAAATTGTTAGATTTAGGAAATTCTAGAACTTCAGAAATATCTTAAATTTAGTATTAAAAATCAGAAGTTTTTTTTTAAAAAGAAAAGTTCTAGAAAATATGAAATTGCACTCCATTTTCTGCTGTTCATTATTTCTGTGGATTATACATGTCAATTATCCAGATCCAGTTTGGTTTTACTAAAATGTGCAAAGGCATCCTAGGAAATGTTGTGAAAATGCAAAATGGTAAAATTATATGTGAAACTCTTCTCCATAGTTACTATGTTTTAAGAATTACAGTGAACAAAGTGGTTTTATTTTTCAGGAAGCAATATGATTTTGCAGCTTTTGTAATTTTTGTCTTCCTCTCCATTTTTACATTGTGGTCAATTAAAAAAATAATTAAAAAAATAACGTAATTTCAGGTCTAAGTGCTTCTAGATAAAGATAAGAAGATAAAATTGCTTCATTAGATTGGGAAGTGGAAGAGGGAAGAAAGGCTTTTCTGGTCTCATAGCTATTTTTTGTCTAATCCATGAAAAAAATATATTTTTTTTAAGGGATACTGCGTATGTGAGGTTGAGTGGCAGATAAAAAGACTGCATTCTTGCAGCATTTTTTCTCATTCTCCTTCCAACTCCACAGCAGCTGTTGGAGATAAAGAAAATAACTTATTTCTTAAAAATGAATAGCAACAGCAAGGAGTATCATGAATTGGTATTTTATTCAATCCTTTGGCTACAATTTCTGCCTATTGTTTTTAAAGGTAACAGAACAGAGATTCTACAGATATTCTATTTCTGTAGATAATGTTGATAATGGAGATAAGATTCCTCTAGAGTATGACAAGATGAGTCTCTAGTTCTTTCATATTTTTAAAAAAAACCAAGATTACAAGCTGACTCTGCATGTTAGACAAACTGATTGGGAGACTATTCCCGTATATTTCCTAGATGGTAACATTAAAACTTTCATTCACTTCACCAAGACTTGGAGTGTAACCTAATTTACTCAGATATGACTCTTCAAATGCTTCGATTCCAACAAATCAACACAATGGTCTCAATCAAGATAAAACTTTAAGCCAAAGTTTGTGCCCTATTAATGCCTCACCAGAAAGAAAGTTGTGTGTTGAGTGAATTTTTTTATGTCTAATGTCATAGAAATCCTGATCCTTTTTCCTTTAGGATATTGATAATATAATTTCCTGTGGGGGACTTCTTGTATCTAAAAATCTCAGACAGAAGCCTTTCTATACTTTGAGATGGTAATAGATCATTACAACAAATCTATCCCTACCTTTAATTTCACAAGATCTGTAAAAATGTAAAGACTTCTTCACTTTGTTGAATATTTTGGAGCATAGTGGAACAGTCATTGCCAACATACACATTGCCAACATACATTTTCATAAGTCTTATTTCCTTAAGAAGTTCATCAAAAAACCACACTTTACTGATTTGCCAAAGATAGAAACTTATGACTCTGTACACAGAGTATTTTGTGCTTAAAAGGTATAAATGAATAATGTCCCATTTATTTTCCATCAGATGAGTGGTTCTTGGAAAAAATTGTTATAAAAGAAGATTTCTACCCTTTTTCTGTGCATGTTTTTGTTCACAACGGCTGGATAAATAAACGCTCCAAGAAAGATTTTGTAGAAGTGGCAATTCCACTCAAAGGTAATGCTAACAGAAGTGCCCTTTATTTGCGTGAATCACTCCTGTGTGGCAGAGCAGAACACAACGGGTACAAGGCTACTTCACAATATAGGCAGAACTGAACATAGGAACCCCAGTGGTGAGGGACATGGGCCTAGACCAAGGTGAATCGTGCCTTCTGTAAACAAGAAGGAAGAAATTATGCCTGGGATGGAGAATACGGAAATGGCTGTGTTGAAAGAATCTCCTCTGGCAGTACATTTCCTGTCCTTGGAATGATACAAAGAAAATAGGCATGGCTCCTATGTGTGTGTGACATGGACTTATGCAGCAGCTGGCCCGGTTTTCTACCACTCCACATGAATAATGAGGGGGTTACGTGATTGCTGCCTGACTTGCCTGTGCTAAATCCAGCACTATTAGGCAATATAATCTTGCATCTTTTGGTTCATGCTGCCTTATAACTTAGACACAGGTTCTAAACATACTTTTTTTTTCATTGCAGAAACATCTGTGACATCTCTTCTTGTGAAAAATTTTGATATGAAAAGCAGAGGACGATGGCAAACATGGGTGCACTGTACACAAGTACCAGAAGATTTTCCTGACATTCAAATTGTTGCATTTGGTAGAAAAGGGAAATCCCCTGCACAGAAAGTTCAAAATCTGAGTGATAATCCTTTTTTGGTTGGTTTCTTTTTTATTTCACAAAAGTCTTACCAAACAGTTCCAGTAAAATAAGAGTTGTAGCCAATATGTGTGAAGTTGTGTGGAATGATTTTTTTTGGTCAGTGTTAATGTTTATACCTCCATGTCTTATATAAACAGTGCTGGAGAACTGATCACTTGTGGGCTAATACATATTTCTTATTAAATCTCTCTTTAGCAAACACCAAATTTGATGTGAGAAACCTCTAACTTTGAATTAAGACTAGTAGGCCTTAAAAGTAAGGTAATGAATGATGAAGCTGTTCCACACTTCCTTTACATTCTGCTTCTCAAACCTCAATTAATCTGTTTTCACTACTTAGAAGCTGTGTCTTTTTAAAATGAGCTTGTGCCTGGGCAAATGTCAAATCTGTAGTTTGCATACGAAGTTAATGGCAGCTTCTGCACTCCCACACACCTGGGTCACCCCTTTCAAAAGGTTTTTATTCTTAAACATGAGGAAATAAACCTCATTACCCATGTTTTGCGGAATATAAACATCACTTGCTTAACTGATGCAAAAGGAAAAGATACAAGCAGCAGCATATGATAGGATTTACGGGTATCAGCCATCCTTTCTTTTGAGCACTAGAATAGCTGAGAACAGAACCAATACCCAAGGATAAGAATCATCATGAGTTCAAAATTTCATTTCAAATTTGAGAATAAAGATCTGATGGAGAGGTTGTAAATAAGAAAACCAGGAGAAAAGGGTAGTAATATGAATTTGGTTTGAAAATACAGAATCGGTCATGCATTTTCTTGCTTTTGATGTGTTGGCCTAGGCTCTGCAGCCAATTCTCTCAGTTAAAAATAAACATTAATTATGATACAAATATAAGTCCAAATTAACTTGCTATCTTAATAGGACTTCCTCACTCCAATATTAATATAATTGACTAGTGTTTTTACCTATTGTATTTATCTTTTTACCTGAGTTTAAAGAGTAATGCAAACTATTACATACAATGTTTAGTTTATTTTTTTCCTGACAGTTGACTGTTGGTGATATTGGAGATATAACAAAACTTTCCTTTATATTGTCCGGTCCATCCCTGAGAAGAGGAATTAAACTTCACAAGGTATTCCAAATACATCACATATACACTTGCAATATTCTTCAACATACCAACATATAACTTTTGTTGAAAGACAGATGGTCTTTCATGTGATGCTTTGCATTACACTAGCAAAACCAGCCATTTTTTGTCTCTATTACCTGGTATCAACAGATGACTGCCTACAACTTCCAGATCTCTTTGTGGGCAGATCTACCTTGTTTGCATCTGCTGAAGTGCACATAGCTACAGCGGTCCACTGATGTGCAGACCTATCCTTGATTTCTTCTTAAGTGAAAAAAGTAATATCCAAAGTTTCAGAAATTTCTCAGAAACATGGATTACAGATGAAACTGCAGAGGCTGAAAAGGAGACAAACCCCCTGTGTTCCTTTTGCCAGTCTCTGTTTTCCCTATTTTGGTTTTCACAGAGGTACTGTAAAAACTAAGAGTTTTTCCTGTTATCTCCTAGAGTCTTCTGAACACTTCTGTAGAAAATTATATAACCTTAGCTAAAATGTATGTATTTTCTGTAAATTTTGAAGATTTATGTACTATAGAATGAGTAGCTTTTTCTTGCGCAAAAATATTTTCTGGCCCTTTCCAAAATGAAATATAAAACTATTTTTCACTTTTGTATAGAATATAGAAACACTGTATGATTTGGTGATAAAGTTCACACTTAAATGTAATATTACAACTAACAAGAATTTGTCAGGTACCTTTCATTTTAAGGTCAAAGTCTGCATAAATTTACACACCTCATTTTTATGAGTCTAGTTTCAGCAGATTGTCTGCCTGCATATGCAGGTAACCCTTAGTGCAATTTTAATGCACATAGGAGTTTGTGATATGTAATTGATATTTAATTAGGGTTGTATATATTGATAGAAATTAGGGAGAATATTTTTGTATAAGAAGAATTTATACATTTAGTGTAAGAAAATTCAGGTTTTGCAAGTACAAAATATGAGTAAACAATGGGCTGCATTTTTAGTGGAATTTGATGCTATCTAAGTAAAAACATCTCTTATTTGATTAATTAATGGTTTAATTCTGGAAATGGTCATTGGAAATTGTTTATTTTCATCTTGAAGCCCTGTGAATGATCTTGTGAAGCACTGGACACAATGCATAAGCAATAATGAAAATGATCAATCATTACATTTCTAGGAACTCAAGGGCAAGACAGTCTGACAAAATTTTTGAGTGGACCTGTCAGATTCCCAATAATTTAAATTATATCATTCTATTATATAAATATTTATACATTTCAAAACTTGCAATTGAAATCCATGTGAGGAAATCTGTACTCAGGATTTCCAAACTCTGATATGTGTATTCTGTACAATGAGCTCAAAGTTTTGCTTTTGTCACTGGTGTCAGTACTGGCAAGAAGTCACCTCACTAATTTTGGGAATCCTTGCCTAAGTATTTCAATTACTGTCAATTACTTACTGTCTTGATGAAATTAAGTTTTTGTTTCATTTTGTTTTGTTTTAAATGCCTTGGATTTCTATTTCTATACAAAGAGATTTTAAAGGCTGAAGAAACCATTCCTGCAAACTTGCAGTCATTAGCTATGTATTTAAGTTCAATACTGCGTGTAATAATTACCAGAAATGTTTCTTCATATACTTGATAGATTTTCATTCTGTATTTTATAACCCAATGTAGGATAGAGTTTATGATCTGAGTTGTCCTCCTGTTAATCTAATTTCCACATTGACCATCTTAGTAGCTAGGATATGGAGGCTCCTAAGACTATGCATCCTCAGTTGGTTTGGAGGTTCCAAGTTCACAAAATTGGTGCCTAATTTGTTCAGTCTCCAATGAATATTTAAAGCCAAGTGGAATGAAGCTGGACCTAAGGCTTGCACTTTCAGCTGAAATTCATTCTTCAAATAACACATTTCCATAGGGAGCCCTGAAGGCCACTGGACACCTAATTTCTGCCAACTTTGAAAATCCTGAGATGTAGCAAGTCACATTTAAATAAATAAAAAGTAGCAAAGCAAATGTTTTTGCAAAATGAGTATATGCTATTAAGATTGATGTAACTGTATTCATTCATTTGACATTCTAAATTGCAAACACATACAGGTCAATTTAATCTGTATCCTTCATTCGTTCTCTACAAATGGGTCCTATGCTCGTGTCAATATGCAATGAAGAATACACCTATAAACATCAGGCTGCAGAATTAGTGGCTTGCAGCAGCTGCTGTAACTCTTATACAAAATCCAGTAGCTTTTATGAAACGTGCAGGAGTTAGAAATAGGAAGAAATGTAAGTTTCTATTGGGATAGTAATAAAAAAATAGACGGAAAATAAAAATAAAAAAAAAGATAGAAATAAAAAATTCAGATAAATTAATTTCTTACTCTGATTCTGTCTGCAGCTTCAGCTAAAAGACCTGGATACTAAACAAGAGTTGGGCTTCCATACTGAAGCCCCATATCTGTTTGGAGAAGATGGATCTGAGACTGTGACAGAGCTAGCAGCAGTCAGGCCAGACAAGCCACCACTCAGGGGTATGCTGCTTAAATAAAAAGTAAATACATGAGTAAATGCATGCACATACACAAAATTGTAAACTACCTAATGGGATGAACACAATGGACACATTGCAAAGCATTTTATATACGTTAAAAAAAAAATCAAAATAATTTTTGAAGATTCATTCAATAAGTCTGCATAAACCATGTGGGGGTCTATATATGCATGTAGTTAAAGCACTTTTTTGTTTTAAAACAACTGACATATTGTTTTCACTAGACTAAGTACCAATTCAAAAGTCTGAAAAATGTACAAAGCTGAATTAGTATATTTCTGTTGCAATTTTGAGAAAATGACTGATTTAAGCTTGGTGAGGGACCGAATCACAGATTAAAAAAAGGTAGATGCCAAGTCATAATAGCACGAATCACAAAGAGAAAATACAATCTTTTTTGAGGTTTTCTTCAAGGCCCGTTCCTGCCCTAGAAGCCCTGTTTCATTTCATCATTGTGTTTAAAATATGATAACATGTTCCTTTGTTCTGATTACATTTTATAAAATATTTAGAAAAGAGTTCTCATTTATTATACTCTATGAACAGAAGACTTGGTTAAAATATTTAAAACTTTTTGCATCTAATATCTAACCGAAGGCTAGACTGCAAATGGAAATATGTCTAAAGAGTCTGTTATAACATATAATTCTTCATAGAACCCATAAAAAGTCCTCTGTCATGCTGCCTCAAGGAATATGTACTGTATAACTCATCAGCCAAAAGTCATGGCAAGCTATCCTTTGTGGAGAAGAATAATAATAACAGTGCATATTTGTATAAATAGCTGAGCCATTTCTCCTGGACATATTAAACTGATATTGGCCATAATTCTCAGAATGTGAGATCAAAACATAATTCAACTGATCTAGAACAGAAAGTGGACTTCATCTTTTATGTCTGTGTTTTTTTCTTGGTAAAATGTTAAAGTTGATAAATCCTAACTCAATTTAATACCTTGAATTCCCACAAGAACTCTAGGTTTTTTACAATGCCTGATAGAATCAGTGTGATTCTTTCAGGTGATTTCAGTGACCACTGCATAAGTGTCCAGAATTAGGACATCTTCTTCTGTCATGCAAGCATGGATTGCTGCATTGATTCATAAAGGACATTTCATCTTTGATGCTGTGCTGTGTGCTGTGAGGTAGCTAGCAATCCATATGAAATTCAGAAAATTGATGTCAATTCCTTGGTCTTGAAATTGATCTTGTGCCTAAAATAAATTGGTTTATAATGTTTGATAATTATGTTGCTAATAGTCTGATTTGGTAATGTCTTTTATCACCGATTTTTCATGGCAGAAGTCCTTTACTCGATCAGTGTTCATACGGGAACATTGCCTGCATCAGAGACTGATGCAAATGTATTTATTACAGTATTTGGAGAGCAGGGAGACTCCTGTAAAAGGCGACTAAGGCACTCGAATTTTGAGAGAGGACAGGTTAGTACTAAGTTATTTTCCTTACATGTTTTTTATGTTATTTTTTTCCAATACCATATTTCTTTTTAATTATGAAATACAAGTATTGATGTTACACTCTGGTAACCTGTTGAAAGAATGTGTTGCTTACTAAGTAACCTGAATTGGCATTACAGTTTAAGAATTGTTTAATTACCAAGAAATTTAAAATCCAAAAACTATCAGTAACAGTTCTTAGAATCTGGAACTGAATCCAATGATATATAAAATTCTGTGGCTTAATTTTCAGCTCTTTGTGAAGATGATATAGAAATATCAGGGCTATTTCCTGTGACTGCTCCTTTAAAATGCAATTTTTTTTCAAAATATCTGTTCAGACAGAGTTGAAAGAAAGATTTTAAATATGTTAGCTACTGTATGTTAATTAATCCATTTACATATAGAATTGCAAACAGATAAAGATGCTTTTAAACATACTGTGTCTTGTCAAGATATATCCTAGGAGAGATTTTCTGGTCAACCTTTGCTAATTACCATAGTAATTATTACATCTATACAACATGTTCACACATACCCTGAACTCAGATCAGGTATGACTAGATAGGATTTCAAGAGACCTTTCAAATGATCAATTTATCCTGTACAACAAAGCAGGATCCTCTATATTTCATACCACTTCATATGCTCTCTCATGGCTGAGAGGCCATAACTTTCCTAGGCGACATGTTCCACTGCTTTCCCAGCTTTGCCCTTAACAATTCTTCCTTCACTTCCTTTATAATGTCAAAATATATTATTGAGCTTAGAAACTTAGAAACCAGACATGTCATCATTGTGTTCCAGAGTAGCTGATATTTTTTTCTCTTTGCTTCTCTCCTTCTTTTATAGACCTCCCTCTTCTGCTCAACTGTCTTGTTGCTTCATTGTGCCTTGTGTAAAAGTATGTTTCTTTAATCATCCTACTTAGACATTCCTACATGTTTTTTCTGACTCCAATAATACATTTGCAATCTCCTTAAAAGTTTGCCATCACCTTCTCTGCTTCTCCTTTTTTTCTTTGTCTAATTTGTATTAGCTTAGCTCTAGGTACCATCTTCAGACATTTGTTCTAAGTGGACTCTGTGATATAATGTATAAAGCACACCTAGGCAGAACACCTATATTCATTTCTAAGCTCAGTCACTGGTTTACCTGGTGATCTGAATGTATGATTTTACTTTCCTTGTATCCCTTATTTCTCACTGTAAAATGAAGATCATCAATAGTTTAGGCAAGAATGAAAAGAGGGAAACGTATATATTTCAAGGAAGTTTAATTCCACTTTCATTTACTACTGAGGAAATTAAATATATCTTTTAAAAATAAGTTTAATCTTTGTTCATAGCAATAACCTACTGCTAGATTCATAGCAGTATTTAATGTCCTGGTGTCTAGTGAAATTACTCTGCATTGGGAGATATTTAATAATTTGCTCATGGTCTTCCCCCCCAAAATATTTAGGTATGTTTTTCTTTTCCTTTTCTTATAGTCTCTTGAAACCTTTTTTTTTTTTCTAAAGATGTTATTTTTGCAGAATCCTGCTCTTCTAGTCCAAAAAAAAATAGGAAAAGGTTTGTGGTATTGATTTTTTGGATTATATAATTAAAAACATAGGTTAATCCTTGGCATTTTTGAGGGCAAATGTTTAGAGGCAATTAGAAGAGTTAATAAAAGACATAAAGACACATAGCTGGTGACATAATCTAGAAAAGAGGTCTAAAATGAAATAATTTACACGGCACTTTCAAGGTGGTTGTTAATACAGAGTCAGTGGCACAACTGTTTGTGTTAAAGAAATCAGAGCCACTGCATTGAGTTGAGCAGCAGAGTGCTGTATCTTCCCAAACAGATCCTTTGTTTTAGGGGAGCAGTTTTTGTGCTATAGACAATGAAAGTGTTCTTCAGCTTAGGTATTTTGTGTATTCGTGCTCTTCATTGTGCGATAGGTTCTTGGGAAAGAGTTGAGCAGTGAGATGGCAAAATGTTCTGATGATACTAAGCTAATAAATATGAAAGTTGGTGGCAGAGATTGAAGAAGAACCTCATGCAGAGTGAATGAGTAATAAAATGGCATATTAAATCATTGCAACTAAATGAAAAGCAGTGGCCGTGAGGGGAAAACCCCTTAAATTTGCATGCAAAATGATGGGCTGTGAAATAGGAAAATAACTTTAGCATTAGGATAGCTTTGTGACTATGTCAACTCAGTGCCCAGTAGAAGCAAAACAAAAGGAAAACAGAACAGATAAAATTTTTAGAAATTATTACAAAAAGGAAAAACCCAACCACTTCAAGGCAGAAAAGACAGTCATGCCTCCAGATGCATAATAGATGCTGTGTTTTGTTCTGATTCACTTGTCTTAAAAAGTGCAAGAAGAATGTCAAGTGATATGAAATATCTTCCATACAAGGAACAATGAAGCAAACAAGTACTGTTTGGCTTGGAAAAGAGCTGGTGAGAGGAAGGGTGAGGGGGATAAGAAATATAAAATGGCATAGAGAAAATGAGCATTTCTATCTTCTCATGAAATACCAGGGCTCAAGAACATGCAATGACACTTGTAGGTGGCAGATTCAAAACAAAAGGAGGTGGTTTTTTACACAGTGTGTAATTAATACATTTTACTTTCTGGCACAAGATGTTGCAGATGATAAAATGCATATTGGTGCAAAAAGCCATTGCACATTGTCATGGAAGACAACTTTCCACCGAGGGCTGCTAAGTGCAAAGACGCTATCTCTGGCTCAGGCAATCTCTGAATCACAAATTGAAAAAGCCTGAGAGACTTTATATTCAAGAAGCATCTCTATATATTTGCCCTGTTTTTCAACTCTTCCCAAGAAATCTGTTAGTGGTAGCTGTTGGCAACACTGTATTGGATTAGATGGATCTGCAATCTAAAATACTACTACTGGTCTTACATTCTTTATACATAGAAGTACATCAATAAAAAAGTTGGAATGAGGTTTTAGTGAGAGTATCTAAGAATAGAAGGTGAAAGGAAGGAATGTAAAGGGCAAGCTGTCTTGAAAGACAAGATTACGTCAGCAGTATGCCTGGAAAATATGGAATGGACAGGCAAAGAAAACGCAGTTAAGGAAACTTGAGACATCAAAAAAAAAGGATCTGTCTTGACTGATAAAGGACAGGAATATAAGGAAAAGCTAAGAGGACAGAAAATTGAACCAAAGTGTAAGAAAAAAGTGTGAAGTGGGTTTGCAAAACAGTTTAAATGAAATAATTTTGACTTTCATTAATTATACTTCCAGTAATGCGTTCAATGTAATGTCTTTATACTGAAGGGAAAAAAGAAATGCAATGACATCAACCAAAAGCACATTCTTGCTAATACTGAGGGAGTAGGCAATTTAATGTATTATTATGAGAATTCATTGATAACAATGGGCAATTATGACCACTGTTGTCTAATGAATGTTAATTATTATCACAAAGAATGAAACTAATGATAGGTCCCTTTCTCAGATAGAGTTAGCTGTGAAGGAACATGAATATTAGCAATACAGGCTATTTCCTCTAAGTCAAGGGTCATGTAGACTGACAAGAAAATTATATTTGGCTTGGAACTACAAAGAATAAAATTAAAAAGCAATGAGTGCACCCAAAAAGTTGTTTGCAAGATGTTCCTCACAGATAGATCTTATTTTGGTCTACATATACATTACATGCAGGAGTACAACTTGCCATGGTAACTGTTTGAGGAGATTGTAGATTTAACAAGGTAAGAATGCTGGAAGTCCTAAGGCTGTGATAGGAATAATAACTCTGATGTTTTCTTTTTCTGATCACATTGTAGAGAATAGTCTGACACAGACAGTAGAATGGACCAGATGACATAATTCTTTCTAAAAATCATCTCTTCCTTTGTTGCTTTCTGGTCCTCATGCTTTTTCCTGCCTGGTGGCAAACTGGTTGGCAACAAATAAAAATTATAGCGTCTGTTTCTACTATCCATCTGGGTTTTTTTAATGTCACCCACACACATGCCCATGTATCTACCCACCCACTCATATTATCTCTCACACAGAACACATTCATTCTCTCACTCACACAATTTATTCATCCCAACATGCACTAGTGCAGTTGCCATTTAGCTTTTGTTTACTGGTAGCCGCAGCAATATTTAAACAGATGTCTATTTACATCTGAAGAGCACATCAATTCTTGCCTGTATGCGTGCACAGCCTTAGTTATGGTTTCTACTGTCAGTATCTTCCTTTGTTTGCAGAGTCATCAACAGTGTCAGTATTTCTGTTCAGAGTTGAATAATACGATGCTTCCCATTCGAAAAATAGGATGTCTTAGAATGTAAAATACTTTGAAATATTTAAATATAAAATGCCTTATCTAAACCAAGATTTAATTTACCAGGTCTCTTCTGATACTTGAAGCACTTGCTTTGTTTCAGTTATGAGGAAGTGGTTGAACTTCCATTTTCATGAAATTTCTGTAAGTTTTTTCCACCCAAAAATGTCAGATGCTTTTCCATAATGAAGCCTGGGCTGCAGTGATCATGAAAAATTAAAAATTTACATATTCAAACATCCACATAGTTTCTGAACAAGGTCTCCAAATATGAATGTCAGCCTATAATGTCTTCCCTTACTCTCAGAAAGGAAAAAAAATACCTCAGCATTGAAAGGAATCTGCCTTTTCAAACACAATCTTCTCAAAGATGGAAGATAAAATATATGGTTTAATCAGTTTGCTATTCTTTTTACCTCTACTTTCTCAGGTTTGTATTTCTGAAATGAGAGCAGTAGACCTTGGACAGTTAAGCAAAGTCCTTGTTGAGCACCACAATGTGGGTTATGGAGCTGGATGGTACCTGGACCAAATTGTCATCCATGAATCAGGCAAGGCTGATGACCAATATGTATTTCTTTGCCAACAATGGTTAGACAGTGGAGTTGGTGATGCACAGATGAAACGAACATTGAAACTTCTTGGAAAAGTCTGGAATGGAATGTTGACAGGAAAGATTTATGGTAAGATCCAAAATCCTCAAAACTCCTTTCAGCTTTTGTTTTAATTGTAATTTATAACATATTTTGGTTTTTCTTAAGACTAAAACCAAACTACAGAAACAATATAGTTTGAATGTGAATTGCATCTCTCACACAACTTTTCTCTCTAAACGCTTTCCTGAGCTGGTAAATACAATTACAATATTCAGGGAAGAAAGACTAGAGCAGAAGGGAGATATTAAGTGGTGGAGGCAATGAAGGAACTATGTTTTCAGTTGAAGCTAGAAAAAAAGCTGAAGCAGAAAGAGGTAGGTTGTTCCATATGGCAGTCAATGCAGAGCAGAAGGCTCCTGCAAGTGATGAAATCACAAGAGGAGATACAAAAACGCTTTTAGCAGAATGAGATTTTCCCGTATGTTCTTATATTTGCAGAAAGCATTTGCTTTTATTTGCAGTTTTCTCTTTTACTTATATCAATGGCACAAGTTCTTGCAAAGAGCTAGTTGACCCGAACTCAATATCTTATTCTAATTGTTTGTTTAAAAAACCACAAAAATTCAGAAACAAATTAGATAGTGAAAACATGATAAGTCTTTTACGCTTTGCCAGAGTACTGGATTTCTTAGCACTCTCACATATCTTTTTTGAAGAGGTGTAAAATGTTGGTTTGAGTCCATTTATGAAGTCTGAATCAGAACTGGTAGACCAAGCTATGTAAAGTTTAATCTGAAGGTGTGAATTTGCATTCTGTATCAGCCATTTTTTAAACTGATCTTTATTAATTTCTGTACTCCTGGATATTTCTTTTTATGTTCAGAGAGTTTTATATTACACATAGTTGCAGACAAAATTAGTTCACGTTTAGCCACCTGTAGTCTGTCCACTAGTGAATATCTCATATCAGCTGAGGAAACAAAAAAATAATGTCACTGAGACAATAGAACAAAATACCATGGAAATATAGGCATAGGACGAGCAGTTAGACTAGTGTCAATTATAGAATAAGAAATAGCTGTATTGCACCACTGTAAGTACTCTAGCTCCCTAATAAGCAGATCCCACAGGTGTCCTACATAATCCGCAGAGCAAGGCTGGTGTCTTCTGAGAGTAATTCAGAGCAGAAGCCCAAAGTTGGTCAAAGTCTGTTACATCTTTCTTCACTGATAATGTGAAAAGTGAGAGAAATCTTACATCCTTGTTTATGCATCTTGATTAGTGTCTGAATGTAATTATGTTAAATGTAAACCCATTTTCTTTCCTTGGTTTCCCACATACACATACTCCTCAATAATCTGAGTGCAGACTTGCTAATAATTTCAAGTCTGTGGTTATCAATACTCAGGTCTGTATCTATTGAAAATCATTTCTGATCTGTGTGTATAAAACTCCAGAAATAATATGATAAGTAAGCAGAGAGCCTCTGAGAAATGAAGAAAAAAAAAGGCTGATCAGCAAAGAATGACTTTAGGGGTCAGAAAATTATTAAATTCCAAATTGAGTCAGATTTTATAAAAGAATTTAAAAAAATAATAAAAGTTCTTCAACCATTTACTAATGAAAAGAACCTGGAAAAATGTGCAAATATGCAGGAACAATAGAGTTCACACTGAAGATGATGGAGGTAAAATCTCTAAAGAAATAGAGTACTTTATCTCTCTTTTCCTTAAGGAACTGTAATGTTGGCCAGAGGATCAAAAATATAACTACTAATGGGAATGAGGTTATTGGCAATCACCAAATCTGAAATGCAAAGAGAACTTCCAGTTTCATGTAGTCAAACAGTAACAACCAGAATAGTCGTTAGTCCAGAATAGTAAAGGAATTGGGAAACGAAGTAGCAGGACTAATAGCAAGGATTTAAAACAATTTGATGAAGACAAAAGGTATGACTTGACAATAATAAAGGTAATACCTCCCTCTAAAACATAGAAAGCATAATGTAGGTGAATATAGAATTAGTAATTGTTCACATGAAAAGCTTTATAACACACTTTGAAGAAAAGAATAGTTAAGATAATAGATGCAAATAGGAAATGAGAAAGAATGAACCATGACTTTACTAAAGATAGGATGTAAAACAAGATGATAATCCAGAAATATTGTGCATTAAGACAAATGTAATAATATCTAATCTGTCTAAATTTCAATATTTAATTTTATTTGCTTTATGGAAAATTATTAGGTAATCATAAGAAAGTGAAAAGTAGTAGTAAAGGAAGAATTGTAAAGGCCTGGAGAAGAGACAATGAATATGCTAATGAAATCTCTTTGTGCTACAAAGCTGCTATCAGTACTATCAGGAGATTAAGAGGTTGTGTGACAAACTGAGAACTGGAGGAAAACAATGGTACTGAATTCTGTGGCAAATAGCTTGTATACAATCAGGTGTAAATCCAACTAGATATTTGAGCTCTTAATTCTGATAAACATTCCTGATTTCCATTGTGGTGTGGGGGGGGTTTTTTTCTGTTGTTGGGTTTTTTTTGAATGAGGAAATAAGTAGTACCTTATAGTCTAAAAACTGTATTTGACCTGTGTCATCATGTTTTGTAATGATTTCTGCTACACACGTTCATCAGCAGGAGGACTACAAGAAATATCTGGGCGTATTATACGATCACAGGATAATTTTTGAGGTAGTAATATGATGCAGCAATGGGGTTACTCTCAGCTAGTAATGTATGGAGGCATTATCAGTTCAAATCTAAGTGATTTACTACCTCTACAGAGAAACCGTGATATTTCACCAGGAATGCTATGTGCAATTGTGGTCATCTGTGTCCAGAAGGACTGGTTCAAGCTGGAATAGCTCTAAAGAAGTTATGATAACTGAGAATATGGCAATTCTTTATTGTGAAAGAGTGTTGAAAAAACTTGACAGATTCAGAGTGGCAAATTAAATGCTCAAAATGGACAGAGTTGTGATTTATAAAATTAATGGTGGTTTATACATCAAGGAGGGAGAAGTGTTATTTAAGCTAGCAAAGTTGTCATAAAAATAAATGGGTTTCAGCAGTCTGTTAATGCCATTCTGAGAGAATTAAGAGATTTCTGAGAAAGAAACAAAGAAAAAATAAATTTTTAGCACAGAACTCTTTGTGTTGGGTTGAACCTGGCTGGATGCCAGATGCCTGTCTAGGCCGCTCATCATTCCCTTCCTCAGCTGGACAGGACAGAAAAAATGCAACAAAATACTTGTGGGTTAAGTAAGACAGACTCAGGAATTACTGTCACAGGCCAAACAGACTTGACTTTGGGAAATTAGCTGAATTTATTACCAATCAATTAAGAGTAGGATGAGAACCAAAACCAGATCTAAAAACACCTTACCCCTCTCCTTCCTGGGCTAAACTTCACTCCCAGTTTTCTCCACCTTCTCCTATCCAGCTTTTCAGGGGAACAGGAAATGGGGTTTGCAGTCAGTTCATCACATGTTGTCTCTGTCTCTCCTTCCTCTTCAGGAGGAGGACTCCACACTCTTCCCCTGCTACAGCATGGGGTGTCTCCCACAGGAGACAGTCCTCCACAAACTTCTCCAATGTGAGTCCTTCCAACAGGCTGCAGTTCTTCATAAACTGATTCAGCATAGGTTCCTTCCTCAGGGTGCAGTCCTTCAGGAGCAAACCTGCTCCAATGTGGACTCCTCTCTCCGAGTGACAAGGTTTCCATGAGGTCACATCCTCCTTCAGACATCTACCATCTGCTCCATCTTGGGATCTTCCATGGGCTCCAGGTGGATCTCTGCTCCACCGTGGACATCCATGGGCCGTAGGAGGACAGCTGCTTCATCATGGTCTTCACTATGGACTTCAGGGGAATCTCTGCTCCAGTACCTGGAGAACCTTTTCACCTTCCTTCTGCACTGACCTGGAGATCTGTTTCTCCTGCATTTTCTCACTCTTTCCTTTTCCAGTTGCAACTGTGCAGGCCTTTTTTCCCCTCCTTTCTTAAAGACCTTATCCCCGAGGTGTTATCACTTGCTGATGGGCTCAGTGACTTCTCACAGAAGCCACCCCTGAAATTCCCCTGCTATCAAAACCTTGCCATGCAAACCCAATATATTGTTTTATACTTAGTTAAAGAGAAGGAAGCTGCTTTTAAATTGGATCTTGACAAATTTATCAGAGATTATTCAATTTAGTTTAGGTGTTATAGCAGCGTATGGTAATGTATGACAACAGGCATAGTCCTTCCATTCACCCTTCCTGGGCAGCTATACACCGATAGTTTAAAAGCTTAATATTTCTGTACTAAAGGGCTACAGTATCTTAGATTATGTCACAGGGGATATGATAAATTTTCATTTGACTTCTTCTTTTTCATGGATATCATTGGTTTCATTTACATTTAGTGTTCATAGATGTGAAAATGGTAGGTATTTAATATTATTCATCAAGTCATAACATTGAAGTTATTTTAGATGATTTTACAGATGGTGAGTACTAAATTTTTACCTTCACCAAGTCCTGGATTTATGGCACAGACTCTCACCTGATCTAAAGTAATAAAACTTTACTAAACATAGTTCTATTAGGAGACAATGACTTTACTATTATGATTAGGAAGTGAAGTTTGGAGGTTTATGTTTTCCGTTACTCAAATAATCTGTTTTACAAAATAGCTACTTGAAATTATCAAATCCATACTTTATCTTGCTTTGCATAAACGGAGCTAATAAAAATATTCTTCTCATTTCTGCCACAGCCCAGGTGACCAAAGACTCAGATTTTCATAATTTTTTTAAAATTGAAACCATGATTTTGGTAGCCCTGAATTCTCCATATATTCTATTTACTATCTATTTACTATTTACTATCTATTGAAAATATTAAAGCTAGCTAAAGCAGTGAGATTTTTTTGATGGGTACAAGTTTCTGATCTTTAAAACTGTCTTAATAATTAAAGGTTTAACTAAATATTTGTTCCATTTAGAGTTGCAGAAATTACTTAGGAGCCTACCTAGTATCAGTGTGGAGTCCTTGTGAGTCTTCCGGGGACTGTCAATTCATCTATAATGCTTAAGAGACTAACTGCTTCAGACAACATCTAGTGAAAATACTAGTTGAGTGTTTCCTGCGTCTGTTAAGTAGACAAATCTATGGGCTGTTATACAGGACTATTTTTAAGCTCTCAGCAAACATCAGTTCTTCAAAGAAGAAATAGACAAAGTTTTGTACTTTGCTGTCATGATAATTGTGGTGATCTGTGATAAAAATATCACATTTCAAGCTTTGAACCAGTTTACCTAATCACATTTATTGTGATTTGTTGTGTTTATTTTAATGTGTTAAATTTTAATGTGTTAAATTTTAACATGTTCATTTAAGTAAATCCTCAAAAAGTTAAAATGAAAAAATACTGACCAGTAGTATCTAGTAAAATATATGGTGCTTTTGAATGGTGATCAGTATGGAAAAATATTTAAATATTTAAAATCATAAGAGGAAACATTTACAAAGGGGAAAAAAATCAACAGATTGGTTTGGCTCTTCATAAGTCTCAAATATGGAACTGGCTGTCTTATCCGCACACTTCTCTTGGACTGACCCATTTCTAAAGGGTCAGGTACTGCTGTGGAAGGGCTGCTGCCCAAATTTGCTTCTCACTAAATCAATGACAGTAAGTGTACCTGTTACATACCAATATTTGAGCTCAGCACAAAAATGGGAATCTGTTGCTAGACATTCACTAACTTAGCCTGTTACAAATTGCTGTATTATTTTGGATATTTAGCAAACCTATTTATTTTCTTTTCTGCTGTTTTATTTCAACAGGGACTTGGGATGTCCTTGTTACAACAAGTGATATTTCTTCTAATTGCATGAACCCTAAAATGTCTCTAACTGTATGTGGTGAAAAAGGAAGCTGTACTTCAGTGATGTTCCCCAAAGGATCCCTTAAAAAAGAACAGATTTATGAGACTTCTATTGAACTAAGTAAGAAATTTAATACTATATTCAAAGTTCGCTTAGAAATTGAAGAAGCTGGAGAAGGAGAAACTTGGCATTGCCGTGAGGTAAAAACTAAAACCTAAAGCAATTACTTATTGTGCCTCTATTTTTTTAATTTTATTTCCATATTCTATAGTTATGGCTTCCAGTTTTCAGTTTTACCTGAAATTACATAATTTTTAATTTGCAAAACTTACACCATTTGTAGAGTGGTAACTTCAGAGATTGTTTAAAACACTTTCTAGGATAGTGATGAATAACAAAAATCTTGTAAACTTGGATGGATTTCTGGAGGGCATATATACAGATGTGCCATCATCTGTAGTATATCCAGTAGTGTCTTTTCAGAACTGTACCCACTGGCATCCATTGCAATATTTACATAACTCCAAATTGGCTGTTTCATGTTGTAGACTCAGTGATCCAAGGCAAATAATTAAGTTAGACACTAGGAATGCATTTTGATGAAAGTATCTGCCTTTTAAGTTGGCATGTGAATAAAATAAGTGAATAACAAAAGTGACAATCTTTCTTCTGATGTCCAGGATGCTGAAGCTAAAATCTACCATCACACTGAAATTGCTGTGGCACTTCAGTATACAAAAAAAAAAAAAAAAAAAATCATTATCTTGTTATGCTGGCAAAATAAAAAGAATTCTAAAGGAAAGAGTCATCTTCTTTCAAATTGCAGAAACACTTTTGTCCATTCATGTTTTTGGTTTGTTCTCATTAAAAGCTAGAGAAAAAGTAATTTTCCTGTCCAATACATGATATTAGTGAGCTGAGCCCTCTGACATTTAAATGGTAGGCAGGTTGTTAATTTCATTTTCCTAGCCAAATGAAATAGTCATCCAACAAATATATCAAAATTAAGACTGCTTCTGGAGTATTTTAGGAGACAGTGGATCACAGTAAAAATTTCAGAACAGAAACTTGGCAGTTGAAAACAGTGACATCTATTAGTCTGCTTTACTTCGTTAGCTCAGGACAATGATTCAAAGCTGAGTTAGAAAAAAATCAGCATCATTTATGTAAGTAAGGAAAAGATGTATATTTACCTTAGATAGAAGTAAAAGGCAGAGAAAGAAATTATAAATTTCCCTTCTTTGAGATACATGTAAATTATTTGGGTTTTAGGAAGACATCTCTTATTCCATGGTTTCTATAGCAAGACTGCCTGAATCATTTTACTAGGATTCAACTAGGTTGGTATAGGAGATTGTGGATAATATTTATTATAGAAGACAGGTTACCAGTCTATTTACACTGCTGGTTAGGATCAGTGTGGTCGTTTCTATGCTATTTTATTTTGATTTTACAATATTGCACCTCCAGAGAGTCTGAGATTTCCCTCTATCAAAAGTAATGAAAGGAGTAGTTGGTTGAATTCCATGTATAGATTTAGGATTCATTCTTATAACCATAACTACATACTAATTATCTTAATGTTTTTGAGGAAATTGAAAACACTATAAAATAATGCCCAGAACAAAATTAATGCTTTATTTCTGTAACATGTAATAGCTAACAGTTTTATTCTTGGTTTAAGTTCTTGAAAAAATAAAGCACAGTAAATGAAATCTGAGTTTCAATGAAGTGTTCAGGAATGTAGATATTATTGTGAAAGGGAAACTGTGCCAACATTATACTTCAAAGTACATTTAAAAAAAAATCTTTTCAATGTGTCTGTCATAATGAAAAATAATAAGAATCTTTTGAAGACAAAATATTGCTACCATCTCCCAATGACAATTCCTAACCAAAGATACTTTTGCTTACTGGGTTAAAGGTTTGGACATTTTAGTGAATTAGGTCATGAAGAATTGTATGAGTGAACTATCTGTGCCCTTTTCAAAGCAGGCTTACTTTGTACAACTTTTTTTTCAAATATGTTGTCTGGTTGATCTTTAAATAGCTTAAAAAATGGAACTTTATCTTTTAGTGTAGCTGGTAGTACCATAGTGTAAGTTATCTCCTTATTAAAATATGTTTTCTTATAGTAGGAATAAGCTGCTTAGCTCAGGAACAACATGTGTATAAACGTTAGTTTACATACAGAATTTCACAGAGAAAAAGAATACTTAGTATGATATTCTATATATTCGTATGATACATATACACTGATATATACATATACCATAAAGCATTCCTAATTTCTGTTTTTCAGTTTTTTCCCAGAAACACTTCTTTTTCTCTCTCCTCTTAGAATTAGAAAACATTCTGCACTGAAAAATATTGTGGCATATTGACATTTCTCACAAGCTGAAATGTGCTCACTTCTTTTTCTTCCATATGCTGGATGAATAAGATACATGAAGGAACCATTTTTGAACAATTCTAAACATTTTGTCCCTTAATGTAGTCTCTACAGCAATAATGTTGACAACATTTTGATTATCTTTAATTGATTCCTTCTCATTCAACAGATTGCTTTCAAAAACATTTTAGAAAGGATTATTTCCTTTTATTTTTTAAATATTGAGATGATGTGCCATACCTGTTTAATAGTTTACCTTTTGCTATAGTTTGCATTAGAGTGCAACAGATGCTGAAATTATTTGGTTTTACTCTTTGCTAAGGTAAAGCTTCAACACAGAGAAAGTAAAAATATTCTAGAATTTCCATTTTGTCACAACTTTGCTGATGAAGAAGGAGGAAGAGTGACTGAGCTTCCAGTTCTCACAGCAGGATCTCCTTTTCCAGCAGGTTTGTCACAAATCAGAAACACTGGAAAAGACTGGTCAGTGACAAATGTTGATTTTCAGAGCAGTCCAAAGGATTTAGCAGATATTTTCTACTTATTTCAGCCTGGTGATGCATGGCTAGGTCCAGTCCTTTCCAGTGCTTAAAAAGCAGTATCTCAGATCCCATAACTGAGCATTGTGCATTCAAGTCTGATTGGTATCAGTTTGTGACACATAAAAGAACAAGCATATGGCACTGAAACTATTATAAAGGTTTTGAATGGTACTCAGAGTTCAGCTTTTTCTCAACAATATGATTTGGTTCTCTCCCAGAGAAAAGAAGGGAAATCCAGAGGAAATAACTCTTATACTGTAATTTCAGATAAGAAGGAGATCCATGGCCCCTCACAACCGAACTGTTCTGTTTGTATTCCCAGAATTTCAGGCCTTCTTTTTCTGTGACCTAGCAGTTGTATGTCATCAAACTCCATCAGAGTTGTGCTGGATCAACTCAAGACAGGATATTTTTAGTTTACTCTGTGTTTCTTACAAGGCTTTATAGCCAAAGTTAGAGAAGGTTAGAGAAGAATGGAAGAGTTCTTGTCCTAAATGTATATTCTACCATGAGAATATCCCAGTCTCCTCCAGAAGTTAAGGGTTTAAATCAAGCACAAATAATCTGTATATTCCTTGCCTTTTTTGCTGTGCTTTCAAAGTTAGTATCAAACAAAGCACTTAGGCAGAAGGTTCTTGAATATGAATTTGAGAGGAATGCTGCTGGGATATTCCCTGGGAAGGCTCTTTGCTTTTAAATACTTCTAAAATTTATTTCTTTATGGAAGAACACAGATATTTAAATCTTTACAAATGCTGCTCCTCTTTCTGAGGAGCATTTAATATGAGGACAGATACTCTTTTCTTAACCCTCTCCCATTTTTTTTTCTCTTTTTCAACTGAATATTTTAGGGATGTGACTTCTTTCTTATTTGGGGGGCCAGGTCACCAGTGTGTTATGCATTTCTCTGGGCATACAAACAGGTGTTTTACATAAGCAGCCATTCAAGAAATGCTCAGCTGAAGAGTTGTAAGATGACATGTCAGAGAAATACTGTGTGTTCTCTGACATGTCATCTCCTCAGCTGAGGCCAGTAACTGCAATTGGTACAGTGTAGAGCAGCCAGCTTCTGACTGAACCATGATCCAGAGGAAATGCAAAAGTTACTGTCTTTCTGGCAAATTTCAGCTTCGTTTGAACTCCATAAGGCTCAGAGCAGAGATGAGCTTGTTGAGTGATTTAGCATAGCCTAGGAACTATTTAATTGGAATGTTATGTATTTACTTGCATACAAGTGGTGATTGAGTACTGTTTACATGTTTTTATACCAATTTGTTATATTTTTATTTCATTTTTTCTTCTGCCTGCGTTTCAGGCCAGGTCAAACTATTTAGCTTATTATTCCTTATAATAGTGGTTCTTAAATTCTAATTATAATGCTTCTATGGGCTTTTCTAAGCATTACAATAGTCTTCTGATCACACTGGGTAGGATGAGAAATGAAGATATAAGAGTAGTAATTTATTAAATAATGTATTTTTTAACTGATTAAGGTTTGGTAAACCATTAATCTCTTTTTCCCCACAGTGAAAAGCTATGTTCTCTACATCACCACGGGTGCTACCCCTGGGTCAGGAACAGATGCAGATGTATATGTCATGCTGCAAGGCCCATTGGGAGATACTGGCAGAAGAAAGCTGATCAGAAAAGGAGATGACAATTTCACTAAAGGAAAGGTATACCTATAGTTTCTGTATTATATTTTTCACTTTTAGAGCTCAGTCCAATTCATGTGGACTTAATGGCAGTAGGGCAGTCTATAAAGTCCAGTTTGTAATGCTTTGCGATTGAAAGTATCTCTATCTTATGTGGGAAATACTGATATTTATATAGTTAATGTTAACAATCAGTACAAGTAATAAATTGATTATATCAAGTGCTTTAAGATTCAATTTTGTGAATACTGAATGTCTTCGGTGACATACCAGTGCTTTTCCTGCATATTTGCTTCACAATAGAGCCATAAAGAGGCTCAATTTCCTTTTAATACCTCTTTTCTTCTCATGCCATTCTTCAGACTGTGGCACCTTTCCCTGGCTTCTGCTACCTACCCCTCAGTCTGGGTCCTGGTCTCTCTCCAGAAGGTCAGACACTACCTTCCATGATTTTCTTAGGTCTACCAAGTGTAATTTATTCACTGTGCAGGAGTGAGTCTTGTAGCTGGTAGACATAGACCAGTCAAAGACCAATATAGCTTCCAGAGATGAATTTCCCTGTTGCATTGTCAGTACAAAAAGAAATCAGGGGGAATTTGGATACTCAGTGTGCTTCAGAAACATAGGTAGATTTATTGCAAAATGCATGTCTTTGACATAAAACCTATTCCCTGTTGGGAGCTCTGGACACAGGGAGTGAAATTTTCAGCTAAAAAAAAAAATCACAAATATTTTAACCATAGAATAAATAAATTATCTCCCTTTACTGTGGCTCTTTATTTGAAAACAAATTTGAGGATTGAAACAATTTAATAAAGATTCTGAAACAAACATCTGCCATAGAAAATTTGGGTTGGAATAGTTAAAGTTTATAAAAAAACACCTGTGGCTTGCAACCATTCAGAAATGCTGAACATATTTTACATTAGACAGTGCTACCTGTGTGTGTGCCCTGATACCTTTCTGAAATCTCAGTGAATATTGTGACCACGACATTCTAACATATCTCCCTTTCAGAAATAACATGCAGTAAATTATTTCCTTCTGTTGATGTTGGCTGCCAAACAAATGAGAGTTTCTCTAAGGATGTAGCCTTGCAAATAAGTGTAGATTGATAACCAAAGCAGAGGCATGATATGTTTGATTAGGAGGAGCTCAGATCTTAACTACCCCCTGCCTCATCAATTTAGTGGGAATTGAAAATGGGTATTGTCTTACCGGATTTCACCTACTTGAAATACTTGTTCATAAGAAAATTTGGAGAGTTTAGATATCTTTAAGGGACTAAATACTTGCGGATAAAGGTACTCAGCTTTGATAAAGTCATATTTGTTTTCCCTAATTCTGAAATTCAGATTATGGTTTACTGATAAGATGATTTAACTGAATTTTAGACCTGTAGTCCTTTTGTCCTAATAAAGTTAGTTTAATGCAAGTTTTACTGGATTTCTCCTTAAATCATAGTTATACAAATGTGCAATCTGATTTCTAGACTAGCAGCTTTTAATGAAGAGGGACCAGGGATGCACATCCAGAAATGTTACCTAAGAAAACAGAAGTGAATCACAAAGATTTATAACCTGGAGGGTATTTTTATAGTGTTTGCATCTATTTCAGTGTGGCTCAGAATTTTTCTGTTTTAAAGAGTAAGATGCAGAGCTGGCATGCAGCCATCTCTTCATTACTTATTTGACATTTTATAGGAGCAGTGTGTGAATGCAACACAGTATTCTTATATTTCTAATTTTAGATATCAGCATTTGAATATTTTAGCGTCCTAAAAAGAAACTGCTTGTAGATAAGTAATAGAGAAACACATAAAAGTCTTGATTCACTCTTTGTTCTGTGAAAATAAATTAAAGGTATCTGGTTAATTGAAAATTGTAAAATGATTCTGCAAGCAAGACTCCTGCCTTTGCAGCAACATTTTGTTCGTGACATGTTTTGGAAATTTCCCAATGTTTTCCTCCCTTTACAAGTAATCTCCAAAAAGACTCTCAAGTGTAGAATGTCTCTTTCTACACCAGCCCAATCACATATTGAGCCAAGCACCCCTGCAGTCAGAGAGTCTGCACTTGGTGGTTTAGGGGATTTGGAGTATAACAGGCAGAATTTGCATTCTGAATCTTAACAGTTGTTCTGACATTTTAAAATGTGCTTTTCCTTGCAATAATTTTTCCCCTGACTATACAGTAACAGCTAGTGAACTGGAACAGTGTTTCTGTTAGAAATCACATCAAAATATGGTGTTAGTCTCACAAATGTCAGGGCTGCTACAAGCAACAGTTTAGCTATGCAGAAATACATAGAAATGTTTAAATATTCAGTGAACTTTGCAGTGGATTGGAGATACTCTTCTCTCATTTAACAGGTCTTTTATTTTCATGAGCTGAGTTACATGACAGTAAAAAAGTGAATTAGCTTCTTATCTCTGAAAAGTTGCTTTGTGCCTTTCCAAAGTCCTTACACCTGTGAAACCATCAGAGAACTGGTAGATAAAGTAATGTGCATAATATTATTAATTCACCGGTAAGCACCCTATAGCTCACCCTGAGAGAGAGCAGCGCTGTCACTGAGAGAGCTAAGCTTCTGGTGATCTACTCAGACAAATGGACGTGAATATTTGTGCTGCAAGAACCATATTCTTCCAAATTGTTATGACGTTGATGCCTTGTTTGATGTTCTTCTAAAAACTGTAAGGATAGACAAAGCATGCAGTTCAGTTTTCATGAAATCCTAATAGTATTTACTCATACTGCATGAATCAGTTTAAGTCTGATAAATGTTACGTGCTACAAACACTTTTTTTAACCAAGTATACTCAGCACAGACATTCTGTGAAAAACAGGGCCCAGTTTTGGAAAATCCTTACTGCTTCTTGCACCCAACATTTTTCAGCAAATATAAGTCTTTGTGCTTTTTTATATGGTCTTTGATAGACTTGCTGTATGCTCTGTCATATGGCTGTAAATTACCCACAAATTTCCTCTTTGAGAATGTGGGGATTTTTTTTAGTTCAGTTCCATCAAAGCCAGTAAACTACACTGACTATGTTATGACTGATATTTAAGTATTTTAATCTAGGTTTTATGAAAGTAACCAGTATTTTAAGTACTCCAAGTTACTGAAGCACTAAAATCTCTGAGAATTTTTACTTCATTCTATTAGTATTTGAAAAGATATATCCTTTATCCTGCCCTATATTTAGACATCAACTGCTCAGGTTGGTACCATGGTAACTGCAGCACATACAAAAATTGTCAGTGAGAGGTGACTGTTAGTATTCAGTTTCAGTACTCACAGATTAAGCATTGACAATTAAAAAAAAAATGCTTCAAGAAAAATCATTGTGCACCAGAATACACTAAGACGGGTGAGAATGTGGAACAGTGTACTAAGACCACTAGTAGGAAACCAGTATTTGCATGTAGTGTTGACATCCCATCAAAACAAGAGTGCTGCTAATTTGTAAATGCAGAAAAACCTTCTCTTATGGAAAGTATGTCTGACATAATGATTAAATAATGGCAAAATGCCATTGATCCAAATGTATTAATCATAGTGGTAGGCTGTTGGCCAAGTTAATGTTGTACAGAAGTGAACACTAAATCAGTCTGGTCATCATAGAATCATAGAATTGTTTAGGTAAAAAAGACCTTTAAGATCAAATGCAACCATTAACCCAGCATTGCCTGGTTCACCACTGTGGCCCTGAGTGCCACATCTACACAGCTTCTAGGGACAATGACTCACCCACTTTCCTGGGCAGCCTGTTTCAAAGCTTGAAGTCCCTTTTGGTGAAAAAAGTTTTCCTAATATTCAATCTAAATCTCCCCTGGTGCAATTTGAGCTTGTGCAATTGCTGATTACATGGCAGAAGACGCTGACACCCACCTGGCTGCAGCCTGCTTTCACGTAGTTGCAGAGAGTATCCTTTTCTCCAGGCTAAACAGCCCCAATTCCCTCAACCACTCCTCACAGAACTTGTGTTCCAGACTCTTTAACACCTTTTTTGCCCTTCTCTGGACTCACCCCAGTTCCTCAGTGTCTTTCTTACAGTGAGGGGCCCAGAACTGGACACAGGATTTGAGGTGTGGCCTCCCTAGTTCTGAGTACAGGGGGATTGTCACTGCCTTGGTCCTGCTGTCCACACTATTTCTGATACAAGCCAGAATGCCATTGGCCCTCTTGGCCACCTGGGCACACTACTGGCTCACGTTCAGCAGCTGTCGATCAGCCCCCCCAGGTCTTTTCTGTCAGGTATCTTTCCAGCTGCTCTTCCCTGATTCTGTAGAGCTGCATGGGGTTGTTTTCACCCAAGTGCAGGACATGGCACTTGGCCTTGTTGAACCTCACACAATTGGCCTTGGCCCATTGATCCACCCTGTCCAAATCCCTTTGCAGAGCCTTCCTGCCCTCCAGCAGATCAACACTCCCATCTGACTTGGTGTCCTTGCAAACTGACTGAGGGTGCACTCAATCCCCCCATTCAGCTCATTGATAAGTGTATCAAACAGGATTGGCCCCAGTACTGACGCCTGGGGAATGCTACTTGTGACTGGCCACCAACCAGATGTAACTCAATCCACCACCACCCTCTGGGCCTGGCCATCCAGCCAGTCTTTTACCCAGGGAACAGTACACCTGTCCAATCCATGAACAGCTATTTTCTCCAGGAGAATGCTGTGGGAAATGGCATCAAAGTCTTTCCTAAAGTCCAGCTAAACACTCACAGCTTTTCCTTCATCCATATATTCTTAGTGAAGGAAAGACTGGTGGAGGTTGCCAGAAACTGTGAGGAGAAAAGTAAAAAGAAAGAATATAATTAAAGCTTTGTGTAATCCTAGAAGACAGTGACAAATACCTGAGTAAGGTGCAGTTCTCATCGGTACCTCCAGGGTGGCATTTCCCAGTCTGTAGTTACAGTCAGTAAGAGATTTATAAGGGGTAGAGTTAGAACATACCATTGCAATCACCTAGCTTACCTTCACAACACTGGCCAATGGATTGGAGCTATGTGA